CTCCTCCCTCCACTCCTCTGCTCAGCTCCTCACGCTTTACTGCCCACTTTACGGCATCTCATCTCCTCCCTGTTTGCTGACACATCAACAGCAGCTGCAGAAATATTAGCGTGCATGTACGAACTATGGCCACGCAACAAGGCCAGGAAACCCAATCTGGTGCAAATGGTCCACAGTGAGAGAGAGGAAAGAGATCAGCAATGCTTTATTTTAGGGTATGCATATTAAAATTTAACTAGCTGCTATTTTACATATTTATAAGTGGTTAATTTTATGCTAATGAGGATTGATTCAACTCTTATTAATGACTGTATAACTTTATTCCACTGCCAATTAGACATTGACTTTTCTTATGTGGTACTAGCCCTTAGCAACAGCCTTATCAATATCATAATTCATGTACAAAAATGACTAACATTATACTAAAATGTAGTTATTTTATTAGGAAATATGTATTAACATCAAACAAATCAGAACATGCAAATCAGCAGCTAGTAAAATGTCTCTCATCTTATTAGAATAATGTGGACCATTACTAGTTACAGTTTTTACAGCATTGTTTGGTGGATATGAGTCATTTATTTGAAATGTGTTGCTTATGAAATGTTAACTAATGCTAAAATCTTGTCCGTATGTATACCCTTTTGTGGTTTATTTATAAGTTTATTTGTATAGTTATATTAATTGACTAATACTTGTCTGTTAATACAAGTGGACAGTATGTCAGATTTGGTTTTCATAGTCAAAACTGATTTGAAATGATAATAATGGAGGATAGATGATTTTTCAGATTACTTAAAACCTATTCACATAAATAAAAACAGACACATCCTCATTAACGTTTTACATGCCGTTTTACTGAGGCTGAGCGGGAAATAATAATTTGTACAGTAATAGCAATGCGCAACTAGTTTAAATAAAACTGAAATGAAAACCTTGGATGTAGAAGCAGTGGCAGTAGCTGTCTTGGTAGTAGTAATGTCATCATACACACAATAGAGACTGCTATGAAAGACAGGATTAAGCTACAAAAGAGTGAAACACAAATTGCAGTGCTGTAAAGGAGGAGAAGGTTAATGAGGCTGGTGCAGTGAGACAGATCACAGGGACACAGACCTAAGCCGCAGGGGCTATCTCACTTTATTACATTAGCCAACATGAGAGCAGTTAGCCTCTCTATGTCTGCTCTCTTTGTAGCCCAAACCTTCTCGCTTACACCAGCAACAGTCAGTGCTGGAAACATTCAGTCATCCGACGCAAAAGAAATCTACTTCACTATGCACGAGTTTGCGTTTGAGTCATGAAAAGAGCTTAAGTCAATTCACACAGGATTTCACTTTCAGGCAATCAGTAAAGATTATGTGATTATTGTGTTTGAGACTTGGGTGGATAAATGTCTTTCCAACCTAGATAGGCTACACAAAACATATGATGGACACAATCAGTGGTGGAAGAAGTACTCAATTGTGTCTTGTAAGTAAAAGTAGATACCAGAGCAAAAAAAAAAACCCAAAAAAACTCAAGTAAAAGTATCACTTCACAAATCTATCTATTAAAGTACCCATTTAAAACTGTTCTTAAAGAGTAAAAAGTATTTTGCACAGATTTTGAGATTCAATAAAGCTTCAAATGTATTGATTTTGATACAAATTTATGCTGTATTTTTTAGAAACAATTTAATTTTCCTAACTGTTTTATTTGTATATTTTTATTTGGTCAGAATATGAACATGTTAAAAATAACGCCCTCAGCCTTTTCAGCAGGTTTCAGACAATAATAAAAATATTTTAACATTTTTCATATTTTTATATTTTCAGTCTATTTAAAAAAAAAAAAAAGAAGTGGAGTAGAAAGTACAGATAAAGTAAAAATTATCCACTTTACCTAAAATTTTGTACAGTACTCCTACTTTTACTTTGTTATGTTCCACCACTGGACACAATGTATAAGCTCTTCATCTTGCCCACTGCACTTTGACTACAACTACTGCACCAACTAACTACTACTACTACCCTTTAACACAACAAATCACTTGACATATCATGTCAGCTCTTCCACTTACTCAACTGACCTACATCCCTGCTTAAATCATGTCTCCCCACACATTCTCTAGGCCTAACAGCCATAATACACTCCTCAATGTCCACGGGCATGGTCCCACCACCACTCTTAACTGTTACACTAGTTACACCTTTAATCAAGAAACCTGGTTTGGTCTCCAAAGATTTCAAAAACTACCATCCCATTTCCAATTTCCTTTCACTGCCAAGTTAGTCACATGCACAGTTGCAGCTCAGCTCCAGGACTTCTTCAACACAATAATCAGTTTGAGCCCTTTTTATTAAGTATTGAAACTGCACTGGTCAAAATAACCAACGATCACATAGGAAGAGTCTCATGGCACCTCCTATCTCATGGACAGAAACAAGTGTAAACAGGTCAAAACATTATATCAACATTATCAACATTGGAGTTCCCCAAAGTTCCGTCCTAGGTCCACTTCTGTTTCTTATTTACGCCAAAGCAATTCTGTCCAAGTCCCTACTCCTCACTACTTGTCGGCTGTCTGGTTCCATCTCCTTACCAGCCAAACTCTTAGGTGTCATGCTGGACTCTACTCTTTCATTTACCTCAAACATCAGTAACACTATCCTTTTTCAACATACATAAAAACTCCACACGTCTGTCACTCAACATTTCCTTCACATCTGAACATCATAGTGCTCTCTGTGGACTCCCTCAAAAACTCATTCCACTGACTTCAGAATGTTCATATTGTCGAGCTGTCAGGATCATCACTCGTATGAAATCATAATGTTACTTTGTATTGATAAAAGCAGAAAAGTAAATGTGCCTCTGCATTTGGTTTATAAAGCTGTATCTGAAAAGTGAAATACCATCACTCAGTCATTCAGACACACCTATATTAGTCAAATAAATCTGTCCAAGTCAGAAAAGCAGTCGGCATTAAATCTCACCAGGCCTTTTATTGTTGTGCAGTTTTTTGAACATCACTTTCAAATTTGTACTCAGGGTATAGAAAATACCCTATTGTGATTACACCCAAAGAAAAATATATAGTTAATGGATTTATCTGTTTTAACTATGTGGTCTTTATCAGGGCTTCGCACAACGTAAATGAGTTGTGTCCTCTATGTGCTCTTTCGCTTCATCAATGCATTATTTATAAATAATGTATTATTATTTATGATTATTATTCTATCAAAAAATAAATAAAAATTTACAACATTAACTACCAAATAAACTCTTTCATTTGTATGTAGTCATACACCTAATCTAATTGCCAACTGATCTGAAACACTGAGGTCAATATTCAAAAACATGTATACTTCTATACTTTTATCTACTTCTATAATGAATCTATAAAGTTTAAAAGTCAGACTAAAATGGGGGAGTAGCTACTTTAAAGTGCTGGTGTGCTAATTATGGAGACTGGAGAGCAGTCCTGCCCTGCCCCCCCGCCAGACCTTTAAGGCTGAAGTATAGTTCTGTGTTGTCGGCGTTCTGCGTTACAGTGTAAACATTTTAACAGGTCCATCTTGACAGTAATTCAACAGGTACATCAACAGGTAAGTCAACAAGTAGCAGCAGCAAACAAACCACAGCAACTAAAGAGCAACCAACCCACATATTATATATAAACGTACATATTATATTATATACTCTGGAAAGGTTTTTTACTCCTGATGGTTTGATTTTTTTGTTGATAATGTTTGAGCAAAGATGCCTCTTTGTACCCACTTGTACAAATATCCTCCATTCACGTTCGACACACCCCTTTCCAGGCATATACGTACCCAACCCCCTGCACCTGTTCTATATTGCACTCTGATGAAGGACTTGTAGTCCGAAACATTGTGCTAATAAATTTCACACTGGGAGCTTTGAAACAGTGTGCAGACTTTTATTATTTCTGTTTCAACCAGCCAAGCAACCACAGCAACCAAAGAGTAAGAGAACACAAGCTGGTGCAGCTACCAGGTTTCACTATATTCCATTTAATTTTTTTTACCCTTGTGTAATGATGACATTTTAATTTTTTATTTATTTTTTTACTGAAATTAATATATGTTACATATTTAAAGGCAGCACTTTTTTATGGGAGTGAGCATTTGGATAATGTCTCCCTGCTGGTTGAGCATGCAGAATGTCGAAAGGATTCACAGGCAGAACAGCTATTAGTAACATGATATTAACCTGCGTTTCCCTGGTTTCCCAGAATGGTTAAGAATGGTCCACCCACAGTGTAACTGAAACACAAAATATTATACATATGAGACACAGAAAATATCAACAGTGTATTTCAGTTATATTTTAAAGCTTCTGGATACAATTGAACATTGGATTTTTATTATGTTTCTTTATCCAATCCAATGGCTATAGTTGAGACATGCACAATACCCTTTTCTAACCTTTGCAACTCAGTGGTGTCTGTCTTCCTTTTGAGGGCCATAATTGACACCTTGATTAGGTCTTTCTCAGCCTGGGGCACTGGTGTAAAACAGACCCAATGCATTAAGTGCATTTCCACCTGTTGACTGGACGAAATGTAGCTCTTCCAAAAGTCAGATGACAATATATGAAACTTACTCTTACACAAAAACACTCAGGAAGCAGACTGCATTGTTAAGATGGTGGAAACTGATGTCCCTGATAATGTACATGGTCAGACTTGGATCAATTAAGGCATGGCAGATGTGCAGAATCATGACTGGCCCTAGGGCTTAAAGAATACAATCCAATTTTCCTCAACAAATGTAATAGTATTAGAGCTGGATATAAACGGACAGGGAGGAGTCTTTTAAAAGATTGGACAAGTTGGATACTGCGTAGACGGTTGGTGTACAGAGTAGAAGAAACTGATGGAGACAAATATTTGTCTGTGGATTTAGAACTAATTCCTCAGAAAAACAGACTACTTATATAACTCCTATAGGCCGAGCTTTGCACATAAAGGCGACTCCCAAACTCAAGCAACAATGAGAATTTTCAGCAGGGACTTTCGACTCCAAGATATCGCCGTCATGTACTTCACAGCTTTGGCCACTCTCATGATCATCCTTGTGGCTTCTTACCAGGCACCCACTTCTGCAGTAGATATCTCCAGTCTCCAGTCTGACCACGTCCTCCCTCCTCTGCCCATGCCCTTCAGAGTGCTCCTGGATCCCAAGGGAGAGCTGCAGCTGGCATGGAATATCAGCTATGCCAACCAGGAGGTGTATATGCAGCTCAGGGTGGCCAAGGTGCGGCATGGGGTTGTACTGGGCATGTCCGACAGAGGCGAGCTGACCAACGCGGATCTGGTGGTGCTCTGGGAGAGTGGAACGGGAAGCTACTTTGGGGTAAGTGCATATGGAATCAACTAGCTTGTATTTTTGAACACAAATCTGGCTAGGAATTGTTTAATACTGACAAAATAGTAAATAAAAGGCTCTCGTACACCCCGTGATGTCACGAAGTGGTATTTTTTCAAGTTAACAGCTACCTTTTACCTTTTGTTCAGTAGAAATTGGCAATCCCAGGTCTGAAATTATCCAAATGATTCCCGCAAAGTTGTAGTGTAAAACCAAGTGGAGTACTTTCTGTATTCCCACATAACATCACAAGGAGGAACAGAGAGGAAAATTCTGCCTAAATATGGAGGAGTTGTGTTTTAAACATGTGTGAATGAAACAAATAAACCAAAAAAAAAAAAACTCTTGGTGTGGCTGTGATGAGGAAACAATATTGCAATATTGATCAGAAAGTAACCTAATATGGACCCTTTAACATGAAGTACAGAAGTGGAATTTTATCAGATTGTTAGTGCATATATTCATGCATTTCAGACAAATTATTTTTTTCATTTTTTAAGGATTTTATGAGGAAGTTCCCTATTCAAAATACATCAGATTTGAATTCCATTATTGCCAAATCATTCAAATCTGATAGGAATCTTCATGCTTGAAACCCAAATATTTTAGTTGCAACATCTAATTTCTTGAATAAATTATGGTATAACTACTACTGTTTGTAAACCCTCTAGATATTTAGAATTTTTAGTATTTATTTGTTTATTTATTGGTTGTTATTATGTATTTCTTATTGTTCCTAATTTCAGGACAGAATTGATAAACCTGAAAGAGAAATCAGTGCTGGGGTGTGTTCGTAATCCCTGATGCGTATGATTGCTGTGTTTTGCTCTAAGTGGCAGGCAGCTTGTTTATGATGGCTTAGTCACAAGGGATTATTCTATCAACTGCTGCTAATGAGAGCATATTTACACCACCCTAGCAGCTCAGGTTCATCAGGGATTCATTAGAGGATATTAGCATGTTAAAACTGCCCCAAACACGTCATGCCACAAATGTATAATACATTTGCTCTTATTACTAGGTCCTTACTACCAATATAATAAAGCTCTGAAGGAGGTCCAACTCATACATAAAAAATAACATCATATTTTAGTATAATTTAGTTTAGTTTTTCTTTGGTCAATTAAGATAAACATTGATCATATTACAGTGATTTAACACAAAAATTATGCATTATGCAGTTATTCTACAGACCGAATGGGTTTAGGCTGAAGTTTTAACACTTATTTTGCCAAACCCTATTAACATATAGAACAGGATACAAGACAGCAGAACTATTTACAGAAAACAGAACAAAACTCATCTTTTATGAGTGCAGGAAAGAATAACTACTTAATTCTTTTGGTATACACACATACACAATATAGACACACAAATCAATACACATCGATGTTCATACACACACACACACATGCACACGCACACATACTGACCCATGTACACGTTAGTATTCATCGCTATTGTTATATAAATACACATACACAGACACTTCGTATAATTGAGGGTTATAGTTAATCTGTAAATTCCATGGCGTAAAATATGATTTATTGTATTTCTCCATATTTTGCTATAATTCTGGTCTTTATACATTTTATTTTATACACTTATACGCATCAACTTATGGCTAGTCCTTGCATATGCTTTCTGAAAGAGGCCAGATCCTCTCAGATTGTACTCACTCTCTCTGGGCTTGAACATCTCTTGGATACTCTGAAGGAACATAACATTATGTGCCTTAAACATCACAATAGCAGTATTGAGCTCAACGAGATCATGTAATTTTAATGTATTTAATTTAATAAAAAAAGAGCATTTGTTGGGGCATAGTAATCTGCATTATTGACAATTATAATAGCATTCTTTCGCAATAAGAAAATGGAATTGGAATTTGTTTTATAATTATTCCCCCATATTTCCACACAATAGTTAAGGTATGGAAGGATGAGAGCGTTATATAATACAGTAGTTTGAGCACATTTTGATTTACAAAGTTTTTAATTTTACATAATGTAGCAATGTTTTAGAAATCTTTGTCTTCAGTATATTTATGTGCAATTTCCAGTTTAATTTATCATCTATATTTATTTCCAAGAATTTTGTATGCCCTCTCGATCTCTGTACTACCAATTTTTATGCGGCTGTTTATTTTTTTATTTCCAAAAATAATGTAGTTGGTTTTATTCAAATTAATGGACAGTTTATTCATATCAAACCATTTCTTTAAAGTTGTCCATAGCAATAAAAGTACATTTTTTAAGACCTTACCAATATTGTTAATGTACATTATGAATAATCTGGGTCCCGGTACAGATCCTTGGGGAACTCTTGTTGTCTGAGTTTACATTACACATTTATTTGAACATATTGATCTTATTCTGTGTCATTATATAGTGCCTCTCAATTGTTCATAAAAAATTTGACTATGAACTTAATTTTGATAAAAAAAATTCTTTGGCATAGTAGCTCATAATTACAATCTAACACCAGTGTTAAAGGTGCATGACCTTTGTTTCCACTAGCGCCTTATCTCCATGGAGATGCTGTTGCTTTTGCCAGTAATATTGCACTGTATGGCAAATAACATACTGATTGAGCATTTATAAAGTTGGAGGTGTTTAATTGCTTAAAAATACCTCAAATAGAATGCATTCCAGAGATCTGAGCTGTAACTTGGTCCTGGTGGTGTCACCTGTGTGTCCAGGATGCGTGGAGTGACAGTACTGGCCGTGTCTCCCTGGACCCTCATCAGGATTATGACCTGATCAGAGCTGAGCAGAGGGCAGATGGGTTCTACCTCCTTTTCAAGCGATCCTTTGCCACGTGTGACCCCAGAGACTACCTTATAGAGGTGGGAGAAGTAACTCATACTGTTGCATGCCAAATATATTGAATGAAGTTGCTCTGTGCTGAAAGGGAGGAAAGCATCTTTTAACTGCATGGCATATGTACAATGCATGCCAAAAAAAAAAACTTATTTTGACTTGGTTTATGTTTTCAGAAGTCACCTGTTATGGAAGTTTTAAAAAAGTCTAACAGGCTTGATTCCTGAAAAACAAACATGAAGTGAAAAGGACATTACAATCTGTCTGTCAAATGTAGAACAGCTGCTTTATCAATGTTCATTTCCTGTATTTAAACCCTTTCTTCAAACACAGTTTTATGTTTGGTTAACTCAGTTCGAGATGAGACTTTTACCGTTTTGCTCTTCCTATATTTTATGTTTAGTTGTTTTGTCTTTTCTTCTGTTAATAATGCTTTAGTTTAAGTCCTCTAAGCCTAAAGTTGGATTACATTTAAATCTACAGCTATTCTTCATAATTATTTACTGAGGATTTTAATAATTTCGAGAGATTAGCTATTATTTGTTCTAGCTGACAAATGACAAAGAGCCTGTTCTGTATCTGTGTGAGGAGATTAAGGCTAAGTGAGAACTGATAAGGCTGTTTAGGGGGAACTGGCAATCACTAATGAATTATGATTTAAGTCCTGGTTTTGTATAAGGTATTAACAGCATATTTACTTTTCCTCTTGTGTTCAGTGATTTGCTTGAAATAAATAAGTTAAGGAATAGTTTTCAAATGAAACGGACAATAACTACAAGATCTTTTGATTTAAAAAAATAAAATAAAATTCAGCCCATATGTTAAATTGGTAATGAAATTGTGTAAGTATAATGTATTTAATATCATGTGTATGTCCCTGGGGTGTGCAGTTTTCTGTTTTTATTGCAGTGCTGGAACAAATGGCACTGGAACTGATCACATTTTCATGGTTTTATGGGTGAATCTAAAGTACTTACAATATTGGAGTGTTCAGCACAATTTCTACCCAGCCATTCATTATTGTGATTATGGTTTCTATGGGAGCATCCTTTCAGTGGACAAAAAAGCACAATGTATCACTATGGCAACAAACTGAAAACTTGTCCTGGCTATCTCAAAAACATATGATTATAATAATTTCCATGTTATTTAATCAGGATGGGACAGTGCACTTTATCTATGGGTTCCTGGACAAACCACTGATGTCTCTGGAGATGTTGAACCTGTCCCAGATAGAGACTGGACTGCAGAGGGTGGTGGTGCTGCGCCCAGACATCCCACCCCCCACCCTGCCTCCTGATGTCAGCACCCTGGATGTACGGTCCCCCAATGTCATCATCCCCAGTCAGGAGACCACCTACTGGTGTTTTATACAGAAGCTGCCTGAAAACATGCCCAAGAACCACATTGTGATGGTAAAACATACTACATGAAATAAATACTCAACATAAACACCCACATCACTTTGATTTGTGCAATTCAGCATCCTGTTACAGGTAAAATGTTTTAAATTGTTAATTGATATGGCAACAGTTTGCCTTCTCCATTCTGAAACCCATGCATTATGTAGGTAATAACCTATATTAGGAGTAGGAAACACAGTGTGATTAAAGAGGAGGTATTATTCAAAAGCTTTTAACTATGTGATCACATTGTCCCCTTATCAAAAACATGTCTGAAATATTTTTATATATCACCCATGCATGTCTGAGTAATTTAGTGATCTCTCCCAAGCCTTATCAGAACCTCCGGTTAGCTGTAAGATTTGTCCAATGCTCCGCCCACAAGCCTATATTATCCATGCTCCCACACACCAGTTCTCTCTCTCTCTCTCTCTCTCATTATATATATATATATATATATATATATATATATATATATATATATATATATATATATATATATATATATATATATATATATATATATATATATATACACAAAAGCATGATACAAAAGAATACACTACAGCTTTACAAACCTGGTGCAGAACGCATGCCGATTGTGATGCCAATAGCAATGCAAAGGGAGAGAGATTTTTAACACAGTGTAAACAATTTCACTGAAAATGTGAATATGTTGTTTTTGGCTAATTTACAATTTTCTAAACAATAAAAGATAACATGGTGATCTAAATATGTTATGTTTTAGCAGTTAACAATCCATAAAAGTAAAATTCTCCCTCTTTAATAATTATATTGTTAGAGACATCATTTTAGTTATGTATTTTTTTAGCATACTTGTCTGAAATTGTAGTACTGTAGTGTATTTTTTAGTACTGCTACTTCTTCATATCATATGTAAAATTATTTATAATTCTAGGGATTTCCATCTCAGCCTATATTCTCATAATTTCCCTTAATCATACTGACTGAGCATTTTCACTCTCTCTATATTTACCTGTATATTTTGTATCATACAGTATTTCAAAGCATGCACACATTCTACACCAAGCAATTCTACAAAAAAAACACAGTTACACCTGCTGGAATAAAAATCTTCATAAAACATCTAATTGATTATTTTGATTTCCTGCTGTCTTGTTTTTGTCAGTACGAGTCTGTGATCACCCCGGGAAACGAAGCCATAGTTCATCACATTGAGGTGTTTGAATGTGCTCCAGAGGTACGCGAGGTCCCTGACTACAGCGGCTCCTGCGATGACAAGATGAAGCCCAGAAAACTCAACTCCTGCCGACATGTGCTGGCTGCGTGGGCCATGGGAGCAGAGGTACCACCCACTCATCCAATCACAGACTACACAGCTAAATATGGACACTCCCCCTGGCTCTATCAAAACTTCTTGAAAACACTCAGTCACAGGGGGCAAAAGAAAATTATGTTTAAAAAGCTCAAAGGACCTTCTAAGTTACAGATCAGATCTAGAGAGGTGACCCCACTCACAGTAAGAATGCATGTTTTTGTGAGCAATATAAAGATCTGTAATGAAACAATATTACAAACAAACAATACTAAATAGATAGGTTTAATGTCATACTGCGGAACATTCCTGACAAAGCAGTTTTCATGGAGATAAGCGGATGATTTACCCACCACTTGAAAAGTTACATAGTTCACTTTCAAAGTCCTCTTTAACATGCAAGTTGTCAGAAGTTTTCTTATGACATAATAAAAGGAAAAATCATTATCATTTGAAAATCAAGTTGATATTATGCCAAGACAGTATAGTCCTTCATTTGTGAAAACATTGCTTTTCCCATCCTATTCACGAGATATTATATGCTATTAAAATAAAAGATTAGATGTAGTTGTATATGTCATGTAAATATTCATAAAATGCCATCCAGACTGTAGTGTTATTAAAGGTAAAGGATTTCTCACATAATACTTGCATTTACAGCTCATAAATTAGATAACGGACATTCATGTGTCTAATTGAAAGAGGCTTTTAGTTCAGTCCCTGTATTAGGGCTATTAAAAGACATCAACAAAACTCCTACTCCAATAATAAGCAGCAGCTCAGCGAAAACCTTGTAAAAGTCCAGCCCACACAACAGGTCTATTAAGAGCTCAGACTTTGAATGTGGGATGCACTTCAGCCAATACATAAAAAGTTATATAAAAGCCCCACATACACTTATAAGCATGACAAGAATTAAAGTATAGAACTCAGTTGGTGTGTAGGAGGGCATGATAGCATAGTGCTTACCAGTATGGCCCTGAGATCTGTTGAATGATTGATTTATACATTTTCTACAACTTGAAGACATGAAACTGCAATAAAAGCTCCAAAGTTTGACAATTACCAGTAAATTAGTTATGTATACTAAATATAATATGGTAAATAGTCCAACAGACAGAAAAGTCAGACAGAAAAAGTTTAGGTAGATTAGATAGACAATAAATTAAAGACATTATGAATTATGTAACTTTTTCTTGCATATGGTCCACCACCTACTTGTCTCCATGGAGACATTTGGATGTTTCAGATATTGCATTAAAGGGACAGTTTGGAATTTTGGACATAGGGCCTCATTTCCTAGTGAGCAGGAGTGCTGTAGATGTGTGGAAACACTTTTTGAACTAATCCATCCAGTCCTTGTATTTGCAGAGGTCGCTGGTGCTAGGCTAGCGCAAGTCAATGGCCACTGTTAGCCTGCCACTAAAAACACCCTCTTACCCTCTTCACAAAGCACCCAAAGCAAAACTATTATTACGCCAGACTGGCGATGTAAATGTCTGTGTGGATAGAATAATTTTAGAAGTAAAACTAACCATTGTATTGCATGAATCCGGCCATAACTGGAACAGGCTTCTTCCTGTGCTCTATGTGTCGCTATGGTAGCTGCAGGTAAACAAACTATTACAAAGCCAGTAAGATAGGTGCCAGGTGATATCAGTCCACTGCTGCCAAGCTTTCTATCAGGAAGTACAACTCACTGCTGCTGCTCAGACATAAATCCTTCAAATGCAAGGTTGGTTTTACTTCTAAAATTATTCTATCGGCACGGACATTTACATCAACAGTCTGGTGTAATAATAGATTCGCTTCAGGTGCACTGTGGAGTGGGTAAGAGGCTAACAGTGGCCATTGTCATGTGCTAGCCTAGCACCAGCAACCTCTCCAAATACAAGGACTGGATGGAATATTTCAAAAAGTGTCTTCACACTTCTGCAGTGCTCTGGCTCACTAGGAAATGAGGCCCTATCCAAAATTTCTAACTGTTCCTTTAACTTATCCTATCTCCATGGAGTCACAAAAAAACCCACTCATACACACCCACACTTTTTTATTTATTTATTTTTTTAGATATTATTGAGCTATAAACAATGAACAAATGCAAAATATATAATGCCACAATGTGAGAACAGTTACATGGTGCACTTTTAATGAGACGGATGTTTTGTATTTGTCCAACCAAAGTCTCCAGGTTGCAGTGACCATCATAGAAAATAAACAAGCATAAAAAATGGGACTAGCCTACTCTACACCCTTAATAGTGCCCATAGGCTAGTTTGGGGCACAAACACTCTCTGTGCCCCATACCATGCAGTGTGCTATAGGAATGAGGGACAATGCTTCTGTCACCATATTTCTTCACTGCGCTCCCTGCTGTATCACAGATAGACTCCTCACACAGGATTATATGCCAAGCAAACAAAAAAACAAGCAGGGAGCCTTCTGTGCACCATGAGCAGCAAAGACAAGATTAGGTGGGAAATATTCAGTCCTCTCTCATCACCTCTTAATAATGTTGTTTTTTAGAGCATGGCACTGTATCAAAATGTACGAACAAGGCCAGGGAGAAGATGCAAAAAGAAGAAAAGAATATCAATAATGCATAACACAGTCAGTATGTAAGGGGAAAGGTGTGAAGATTTAGATTGAGCACACATGGGCAACAGTTGTGATTGTTCACTTTTAAAGCTCTGCTGTTGTCATGACAATATATAATGCTATACCAAGATGTAGATAGATGGTAGGGGTGCATGATTTGGGGGAAAATGAATAAAAATATCCCTGTTACATTGTATTGCTACATACATTGCTTTAGATTTGTGATACATGTTTAAAAACGTAGGATTCTGTTCAGAGTGCACATTTGAGAGAAGACTGAAATATGAACTGATAAACCAATACAACTGAATTTTAAATATGTTTGTAGAGAGATAAACAACATTGTTATATGAAAAGGCAGAATATTTTCATCATTGCAGAGGGCTTTACATCTGAAAAATTGCATCACCTCAAATTGTAATTTCAATTCAACAGCGATTCATTGTTCAGCCCTAGTCGATGGACAACGAATTCAAACTTAATACTATGACGAACAACCTGCAACACTAAAAGAATCTCCCCAAATCAATAGGAGGTGTAGAAAATCCAATTATGGCAAACTATTTCACAGCCAGGTAAGATAACCAATATAGATCGTGTACTGTGGAGTCAAAACATATATATGTGTCAATACAAACAGTTCTAGCATTGGATATAGGGGACCATCAATGTGAAAAACAACTGTAAAGAAAAAATCTTTCTCCTCGGTATGGGCCCAATCAATAGATATGTTCCAAGCCAGCCCCTGGATGCCTGAAGACTTAAAAATACATTTTAAGGCTTATACAACAACATTGATGTTGTTGTCTCTATGTGAGAGCCATGTACAAGTTGCTGTTTGCTGTAATAATCTTTTTTCAGTTTCACAGTTCTCGGCTCTGTGGGTGGTAGAGAGTTTGCTAGTAGACTTTCCTTTATTTTTAGAATCCAATCGTCCAAAACTCCAGAGTGCAGCCATGAAGCACAAGGCTACCAGTCTCCTGTGCTGAGTACACGGCTTCAATTGGGTTATGGGCTTGCATCGACAATAATGAAGAAGATTTGTTATACCTTAAAATGGCTTGAAGCATGTTATAAAGGGAACACAGGTTCTTTTACGTTGGCACTATTTACTTTCTTCCTCCTTAGCTTCTTAAAATGAGACTAAACACCCAAACTCCGCCCACAACCACACTTCAGATAGAGCAGCTAAACTGGGCAATGTCTGTGCCTGCTAAAGAAGAGTGAGGGTCATCTTCCTGGTTTGTGATGTAAGCGTGAATAGTCTATTGGTCTAATGGGTGTCCACATTTCAATCTCCGCCCCTGCTGCCAGATATTTGTAATGTGTGTAAATACCTGGCTGTAATCAGGGCAGTCTTTTGTGATGTCATCAACTACTGGAAATGACAGACGTCACTGACAGCAGCGTACACTTAAGAGTTAGGCATTTTTGACCAGAAAGCTGCAAATTTACCTAGTTTGCACTAAAACTGCCACACAAAAAAACGCACAGATAATGCAATTGCAACAGTATAATAGCAAAAAAAGTGTATTTAACCATTCAAAATCATGTGAGCTGCCTCCAGTGGTCATGGCCACAGTGTTCTGTGACATCACACTGTACTTTTGGTTACAAATACCTGGCTGCAGGGGTGGAGTGTGCAGTGTGGATACCTGTTAGACGAATCACACTGTTCCTTCTACCTCCAGACCCTCCACTCCTCTATCACTCTTCCCTTTAGTGCCCCAGGCACTGCTCAGTTTACACTTTGAAATGTGGTTATAAGCAGAGTTTATGTGTTTAATCTCACTTTTAGTTCTAAAGTTCTGAAAAAGAAGCTCACAAGAAGATAAAGGCTAACTGCAGGGATAGCTTTGATTCTTCAAAAGCATTTCAAAAATACAACATACAACAAAACCAAGACATAAAGAATATAAAATCAGATGACACCAATTATGTGTCTCCACAGGCTTTCTACTACCCCCCAGACGCAGGTTTGCCCATTGGTGGACCTGAGGGTTCCATGTTTCTCCGCCTTGAAGTCCACTACCACAATCCTCTCATCATCTCTGGTACATACAATCACACACAAGCAGCCATGCTTCAAGTTAACTGCCCTCCGAACACACAGCAGGGTTTTTAACTCCCATTGAGATGCCTCGAGTGTCAAACTTCACAAGATTATTTTAGTAGTTAGTAGTTCAATAGTTTTTCATCACCATTTTACAAAGTTGGCTTATCCTGAATTGACCCAAACAAAGAGTTTCTTTTTACCAGCCGTTTACATGAAGGAATAGTAACTCAAATATATGGATTTAAATGAGCAATATTTCTGTGCTTTATGGTTCCAGTATTCTAGTAGGCTACTGCACAAGCCTCAACTATACTATAATAATATTGTCTAGAGTGTGCAATCAATAAAAAACAATTAGTAAAATAATAAAATGTTGCTGTCCAGTGCTAAATATTTTATGTCTATTAAAGCCCATGTGTTCAATACTCAGAGATCTCTATTTCTATGGTGCTTTTCAACCATCACTGGCACCGAAGGCACTTTACATTCACCCATTCACACATTTATGGATTGTAGTTCCTACTTGCCTAACTTACTGTATTATGTGAGTATGTGTATACAGCTTTTAGTCCCCATAGTGCCATAAATGCCCAACTATATACACATACTGATATGCTAGTGTACACATACTCTGGAGGAAGGATTGATTAGGTGTCTTGCTCAAGGACACAACAGTTTGCATTAGTAGGAGCTTCGATTGAACCACAAACGTTTGGGTCAGTGGGCAAACGATCTGCCGCCTGAGCTACTGTCTTCCATTAACATAAAACCAGTAAAAAAAGAACATTATGATTGGACTTGGACAGGTCGCAAAGACAATTCAGGAATCAGACTGCACTTCACTCCCAGTCTGAGGAGATACGACGCAGGGATCATGGAGCTGGGGCTGGTCTACACCCCCATCATGGCTGTTCCCCCCAGACAGCAAGCCTTTGACCTGAGCGGCTACTGCACCTCCAAATGCACCCAGACAGTGAGTTCTCCATTACAATGTCTATGAGCTGAGATGTTTAAATATTCAGCAGTGTGGTTATGTCTTTTTTGTGTCCAGGCTTTACCTCAACAAGGGATCTTCGTGTTTGCCTCTCAGTTGCACACGCACTTAGCGGGGCGTGCAGTCAGGACTGCGGTGATTCGAGGAGGCAGGGAGGTGGAGGTGCTCTCACAGGATCCTCACTTCAGTGCACATTATCAGGTGACTATTGGAAGCTCTATACTACATACCCGGATTTTCCACCTTCCCCTATAGCTGGGTTTCAGATTGATGAAATTTTTAAATCGTTGCCATAGAGATTAACAATTCATTTTACACTAAATATTATATCCACTGAAGGGGGAAAAAATACATGTAACAGGAAACTAAAACCCATGAGCAGGGAATGTGAGGTAAAGATTAAATAAGTTAGTATTTTTGTTAATTTTGGATAATATTAGTAGGATAACAAGACCATATATGCATGTTAAAACAAACTATAGGTACACTGGAATCCAAGTTGGCACCACTTCAGCTAGTTATCCAGCTCACTGAGAAAACTGAAATACAAAAAGCTTTGAAAATAAAACCTCCCTAATTCAAACAATTAGAAGACTACATAATTATACTTGATCAGCATTCAAAATCAGTTTTTTTTAAACAAACTGTTAATGGTAATTGCTAATTAAAACCACAAACACCACCAAATTGCCTAGCAGAACACTTCATCCTTCACCTTGCAACAATACTGCCTCAAAGTCACTTACAAACTTAATCATAGACATAAGTAATACACCACCGCACTAAGCTGTTTTGCATGATGTCAACACTGCACATACTAGTACTGTCAGGAGCCACATGCAGCAGTTGTACCATCAGCAGCACCACAACAAATCTCCCTGTCGACCCCGGATCAAAACTGACAAGTGTCGTAATGTTGTTTAGGGGCCGCATCAAACATCTGCTATGTTTTATTTATGCACAATCACTAGAGGCTGAACTACATGCTCACAAACACGCACACACATGCATGCACACACACCCCCATACACATATACACACACATACACACACGCGCACACTTACACAACTGAGAGAGACATCTGTCCTGCTGGCTGATACAATCTGTGCCACTATTGATGGCTCTCTAATGTAAGCGTACCTGGGTGGTGTGTAGCTCGCAGTCTCATCGGGCGTATAAAGATGTTATCAGCACCATCCCCCAATCCTATTAGGGCCAGTCAATAATTATGGAAGCGCCTCTGGGAAAAGGCTGTTTTGTTTGGTGAAATAAACTGCAAATAATAGTATCAGTATCAGGAATAAAACATGGCAAAATGAAGCCATCATGGATTGAAATTTGCTTTTTTAATTGTATTTTTAGGAGTTTGATTTATTTTCCATCCATCCATCCATTTTCGTCCGCTTATCCGGGGCCGGGTCGCGGGGGGAGCAGCCTAAGCAGGGACTCCCAGACTTCCTTCACCCCAGACACGTCCTCCAGCTCCTCCGGGGATTTATTTTTTATTTTTTATATATATTTGACAGTAAAGTCAGACAGGAAGTTGTTTGGCCATGTGCCATGTGTTCAATAGAATGGTAATGTTTAAGATGCCAGCACAGAGGTTGCCATTTTCATTTAGTTACATGCATGTGAGTTGTGTTTAAGTAATTCCATTTCTATGCTGTACTGAAGGCTCTCACTACCAGTTCAGTTACTTACTACTTTACTATGTTCTTGGGCCTCTGTTGGCACATAAGGCAGAGAGTGTACTCTCCAGTGGACCCAGTCCTTGGCACTAGTCTCCAGCTGTTCCATAATCATCCCCCAGGCCTGTGTATCCCGTCTCATTGTTCTTTGGGCCTTCCTTTACGTCTTCTATTTGTCATGACCTTCTCCAGGCTTATAGGGGGATCCTGTAGTTTTGCATCCTCATTATACATCCCCAATATGACAATCTTCTTTCACTATTTCTAAGATGGGTTTCATTTATTTGCTCAGTACAGCACAGAAATATAATTTCTCTAACAAGAAAATAGGATGTAAAGTGGACTTAAAGATGCACTATGGAACTGAGGGTGCAAAATGCATGTTCTTACTTACAGTAAGCGGGGTCGCCTTTCTACAGATCTGACCTGTAACTTGGTCTGGTGGCACTACCTGCTTGTCTATAAGGCGATAGATAGTTCAGTGCCATACTGTGTATTTTTTCAGACAAAGGAACAAAATCCCCATGAGGGCAAGTAAGTAGTGCATCTTTAACATTTGCTACCCTAATATGTACCAATGTGCTATCTGTTTACCAGATGATCCGCAGTTTGAGGAAGATAGTACATGTTTTACCAGTAAGTAACAACTTTAGATTTGTCTGTTTAACAAAATTAAAGTAACTGTGTTTTTTAGACTTTGGGAGGAGAAACAGCTAACAGCTCCAGAGCACTTGGTCTGAGTGCTTAAATTGAGTGGAAATAGGGACAGGCTGTAAACTCAATAGTGTGATAGGGCAGTCCCGGGAGAAAGCGCAGATGTGCCCTATTAAGACGAGCAATGGCAATCTGAAAAGGTTCATTCATCTCTGAAAACATGTCCAAAATAGTGCCACTAACAGCTGTGATCCTTTTGTACCTTTAGTGTAGCCCCATTATGGTTTGATCTTGAATTGTAGAAACTGTATTTTAACTGCACAAAAATGTTAATTTCTATTGACTCAAAGAAACCTTCACATCTGTTCTTTTTTCATCTGTTGTCTGGTTTTATCAATAGGGAGACGTCCTCATTACTAAGTGCACTTATAACACAGAAGATAGGACCAAGCCTACAGTGGTGAGTCTCATATATACATATTTATTTTACATGAAACAGACAATTATAATATTTCTTCAACAACCCAATTTCTGAGGAAAATATTTAAAGGTGCATTGTGTAAATTTTCTGATGAGGAGTCCCTCACCCACTTGTTTCTATGGAAATATCATTGCTCTGCCTAGATTGTTCCACATTATGACATTAAACAGCTCTACCTTACATTTATTCAATTACAGGTGGTTTTGTAGCTCAAAACACCTAGAAACACATTCTGAGTGTGAGCAGGGTTGACCCTCCACAGATCTGATTTGTAACCATGACGATCAAAAGGTTTAATACCATGTTGTGAATCATTCCAGACAAAACAATAACATCTACATGGAGAAACGCAGCTGATGGACCCTCCACAAGAAAAGTTATACAGTGCAACCTTTAAAACTCACTAATACAGCTGTTCTTGTGTGATATTGTGTGTATTAATATTTAGAATCATTCAAACCTGTGCACTACTAAAGACTCAACATTTTGTCTCTTGAATTTTATCCAAATGAAACAGTGAAAAAGTTAACTCCCTAACTTTAAGTAATTACATTATTTGAAAAGTGCTAAAGGTAGTCTGAGAACCAACATATGTCCTGAACAGTTTACTAAGCATTTCATTTTGTGAGGTAGTTGTTATAACATCAAAAATTGATTGCTGAAAGTGTCTAGCAGACTTTTTACTCCCACAAGTTACAAATTGGAATACAAATACAAATACAGAAGAGTTAAATTCAACTACACTTGCATATTACTCGAGAATGCTTTGAAGTCCATTAACATAACTAGCCAGTTGTTCTAGTATTCTGTTTTATAAGCAACTTTATTTTGACTTTGCTTATAGTACAGTGAGTAGACTGATCAAGAAATGCTGATATGCATGTTCTACCTTGCACCACTGTCAATTTCTGACATGCTTGTGCAATAAACATGCAATTACAATATTAGACATGTGATGGCCTTAGCAATAAATGTCCTCTGGCCGTGTTCTGTTGTGTTAGCCAGTTCTGTCTTATTTTGTTTTTAATAATATGCATTATTTTAAGTTAAAGCCTACAGTGAAATTGGGTTTGGACCATGCAATTTAAAGGTGCATTGTGTATCTTTTCTGGTGGAAGGTTTGCCACCTGCTTTTCTCCACGGAGATGTTATTGTTTTGTCTGAAATGTTTCACAGTATGGCATTAAACCTTTCTATTATCATGTAGACCAATCCAGGCCAAATTACTGGTCAGATCTGTGGAGAGGCAAGCCCGCTCACAGTCATGTTTTTCTATGCATATTTGAGCAATAAAGCTGCCTGTAATTGAGTAAATGTAAGGTAGATCATATTGTCATAATGTCATATTGTGGAACATTTGAAGCAGTGACAGCACGCAATGATGTATCCATCAAAACAAGGTGGTGATGGGCCTTCAACCAAAAACTTTGCTAGTGCACCTTTAACTGCATTGAGGCATCATTCTAGTTATATCTTGCTGTATATATTTGCTTCTTTAGGGAGGATTTGGTATCATGGAGGAGATGTGCGTTGACTACATCCACTACTATCCTCGAACTCAGCTGGAACTGTGTAAAACCCATGTGGACCCCGGGTATCTGCAAAAGTACTTCAGTTTCATCAACAGGTGGTTCCCTCTATCAGAACAATTATTCACAAATGTTTCTCTAGGCCAAGCATATGCCCATTTTGCCCTTCACGCTCATTTAACTCACAAGTCTGTTGCTTGCAAACAGTGACTAAGCTTATTCAGTTGTATGCATTCAGCACTGCATTTCCTAGAAACCTAAGCTCATAAGCTCTCAAGGACATAAAGTGTTCTTCAAATGGTTGTACTCATACACACAAAAAAGTACTTAATTGGCTAGACAAAAGTAAAAAGCTAAGCAGGTATATTTTTTCTCTCTGAGCCAATGTTAATGTGGTGATAACGGCACACTCCACTTAAAAAATGAGAATAAACTTGACATAAACCTGGACTAGAAAAGGACCAAACAGGACCATTACTGTGTTCAACCCCTGAGATAAAATACTTTTTTAATTTTTTCAATTAGGTGCCTAATATTTGTTTCCTTCTTTGAAATGTATCCTTTTTCACAGGCACCATTGCTAATTTCATCTATTGGACATTTTTGTGTTTGTGGGCATTTTTACATTCACATTTCATTTTTACATTGTTGAACTGTCAAACCTGGCTCCCATCTCTGCCCGCAGGTTCCATGGTGATGACCATTGCATGTGCGGGAATGGTGGTGTGACAGAACAATATGAGCAGTTGAAGTGGGATGCATTCAGTGGAGAGGTGCTGGACTCCTTGTACAACACAGCACCCATCTCAATGCACTGCAACCAGTCCTCTGCGCAGCTCTTTCCAGTGAGTTTTTAAAGCATGCATTGGCTGATAAAATGGCTGAAAACTCAGATCTCATGCAGTGACAATAAAAGGCTTTTAAGAAGTTTCTTTTATTCTTTGTTTAAGATGGAGCAGTCAGTAGAGTATTTACCTTGACAATAGACTTAACATGTTTCTGACTAGTGTAAACCAGTGTCTTCAAAAGAACACAGATCACATGCCAAACCTATGCTTCATGTAAAAGAAGCTACAGGTTATGACCTTTATGAACAAATACATCTCTCGAGCTGTTTATTTTGTTTGCTGTGACATTCCAATATGTCAAATACAAGTCAAATGTCTCAACTTATATCAACTGCATATTAGACACTCACTTTGACATGACCATTAGCAGTACTCACAGCTGCAATTCACACAATTATTCATAATCACAATTTAAACTGTGCAAATTCAACTTAAGTAAATGAGAGCCTGATTTATGCAACGAGATCAGAGCCAACATGGAAATATTTTGGCAGCATTGTCTTGGATTATGTAAAAACTCAATGTAACTATATGCATAATGGAGTACTGAATACAGGCCATAAAAGATGAGACATTTGCGAAAAATCTAGCTTCTGCTTGAAGTTTAACAAAAAATATTTTAAATTAGTTCCTTTAGTTAGATTAAATTAATTAGATATTTGCTTTTCAATGAGACATATCAAAATACCAGACAATACTGGTGGTACTCAGCATAACTTAGTCCAAATTAGACTAGCCCTGGTAGCACTTAGGAAGCCAAATATTGTATCTATAGTGATATTCAATGTGAAAACTTTGAGAGCGGTTCCAAGACCTCTCAAATAAAATGTCAAAGCTATCAAGTTAATTCTGATGCTAATAACTTCAGAAAAAAAACTTGCCATTTTAGCTCCAGTTATTTAGTCTGTTTATGCATGTATTCCAGGGAGACTGGGAGAGGCAGCCTTTACCGGTTGTAACATCTGTCCTTCAAAAGCCTCACTACCCCTGTGAGGGTCCAGCTCAGCCAACCCCTGCACCCTGAGAAAAGCACCCGGGGATGATGGGAAATCTCCACCAGAAGTCATGACCTGAAGGAGACTGTATTTAGGACTACAAGAATGTGCTTTTGCTTTACTAGACAGTAGATTCTACATATATATGAAACTGTCATATACAAACGGCAAACTATCTTTCATAAATGCTGAAACTAAAATAGTAATGGCACAAAAAAGTATTACCAAGAAATCATTATCCATTAAAATACCGTGACTACATAATAACAAAAAACTTGTAGTAAATTTAATATTCCATACTAGTGCTTTATAGATGCTTTTCTTCACTCTGTAGTTGCGTACGAAAAAAAGAAATCATTTTAGAAAGCTTGCGGATTAAATTTATTAATAAAAAGGAACATTGGGTTGGCAAAATAAATAAATGTACGGTTACTTTTTGGCTGATTGTTTTCTGCTTTCCATCAAAGAAAAATTAACATTAAAAATTACAAATGTTCTCACCCCACATGGTATTCCCCAGCACCAGCATATGGATTACGGTTCACATCAGTCACACTTCTTTAAGACTTACAGCACATTATTCCAGACAAATTACTCATAAACAACACTTGTACTGTATCGTAATGTCTTAGTAAACAAATTAAAATGGGGACAAAATGAGAATACATACACACCCTGAAGATATGCAACCCTACACATTTTTTAATAAGTTTTATCATTTATGGATTTAAGACTTCACTCCTTGAAAAAACAGAAAACCCTATGTTGTGTAAGGCCAGTGGTGTTAGTATTTTACCTATGTGTGCGTGTGTGCTTCTGATATCCATCTTTTTCAACTAAAGCTACTCAGGAGAACTACAATTTGTATGATTTACGGTTTAGGGGAAAATCCATGAATCATTTCAAATTAGTAAACATTTTGTGCTGAACACGCAGCAGCAGCTAACGTCATGGAGGGTAGAAGTGGCAGAATACAAATGGCTCCCATCGACAGACACTTTTTTGGCAAGTGGTCCGCAGCAGTTTGTATTGGGCATAAACGGTCTTCCACTAAACGTAATTAAGATTAGGTGTCAAATATATTAAGCACTTCGTAATATTAATTTCCTCCTAGGTTGTAAACAATCATGTAAACATAATTATGTTGAAGGTAAATTAAAATAAGAATAACAAAGCAAGATGGTTTCAGATATGCTGGCTAAAGTAGAAGAGCATTGACTGGCTAATCTGGATATAAGAACGCATGGGATACTGAGAGATCTTTACATATATCTTTAGATTTGATAGAAAAAAGTTAATTCCAGTTGTATTATTTAGTATTGACAATCTATAGCATAAATGGCTGCTGGTTGTGTGCTCTTTACAATGTTGAGGTAAATGTGTTAAGTGCCTGCACTGTCCTTACTTCACAGTAAACTCATGGAACTTTAGAATGGTAAGGTTTACTAGATGTGGTTCCACTGACTCAAAATGAATAGGGAGTAGTAGAGTAAAAGAGTATGACATGTGCATAAGTGCTGTCATCAGGAGACCATCACTGCAGCACGTTGGCAGGGGCACACAGAGCAGTGGTTTTCTGATAACTCTTGTCTTTGTATGCAATTCCTCCTCACAGCGTTTTGTCCTGGGCTCCTGTTCAGAGCCTCAGGGTATTTTGCTCTCTAAACTCTGTGTGTTTGAGATCTAGATAGCACAGATAGTAGAAGTCTGTTTTTAGTTTTATCAGTATAAATCAGCCACTGTAATAGGACTTCCAAATGCCTGCAAGCTCAGGACACAACTTTACTCCATTTTCACAGACATAGTGGAACTACAGAGGTTATATCTATTATGCACTATAAAGGTTTTTAGAATAAAAGACACTTTGATTTTGCATTTCCTTCAAACTAATACAGTCCTATGTAGACTGCGAATATTATATTTGAAAGCATTTGCATAGCTTTCACTTGAAATAACAGCAAATAAACATATTTCAGTAAAGATAAATACTTAAAAAGAAACAGATCTTAATGCATTAAATTTTAACATTTAGAGTTTATCTGAGATATTTTAGTGTCATTATTCTTTAGTTAATTTATAGTCACAAGGCTGCCAGGTGAAACTATTAAAAATCTTGTTATTCAAGATTTTTAATAATTTAATGGTCATTTCCTGGATTATGCACAGTTTACTATGTGTTTCTCACTCATCCAAATGAAATGAGTCATGCATGTTTGTGAGAATGATAAAACCAGAATTGACAGTCTTATTTTCAGATGACTTATTTAAAATGCTTGGCCACACTGATGTGAACAGCAGAAAGGGGGATTTAAGGCAACATGCACAGTCTATAATGCATTTCTTTAACAACATCAGCCGCCCACATAACTTATTTAGATACAGCAGACACTGAGCTCCAGTCTAAATAGCTTGAGGTGAGCAACATAATCTGAAATTAAGTAGTTGGTAAGGAAGCCTCATTGTTTGAGTTCTAAAATCAAATGTACTGAAAAGTGTATGTACATTTTCAGAACATTTGATTTGTATTTTAATGTTTCTGTTGTACAGTTCTGTTTTGGCTCCGAGTCTTGAACTTGAGTCTACACATTGTAAGAATATTCATTGTGTTAATAACTTAAAATGTGTTAATATGTAAAAATGGTAATAACAGATGTGAAAGCCCTTCAATCCGAATAATGTAGACTTGACACGTTATTGTATGTGTTAAAATGAACATCAGTGGTCAATGTAACAGATAAGCTACAGTGGGCCAACATCACTTACAAACCATGCTCTCAAATGAGTTACTATGACAACAAAGGGATCAATTTGCTGAGTGTGCACACTTGTAAATCCAGTTAATTCATGTAAGAGGAATCTTTTTTTTTAAATTTGACTCAAGTGTGGTCCTTGTTCAATCATAAATACCCTTGACGCGTTTATTCTCGGGGTCAAACGGAGTCTTGATGTGGGCCTTGGCCTTGTACGTCACTCCCATCCTCTCCAGAGTGAACTCTCCACTCTTTATGAAATCAGCATTCACCTGAAATAAACAAGATACATAGTAGAGCATATCATGATGACCAGCTATATGGCCAGGTGATATGACTAAAAGTGCATCATCATACATGGACATTTTGTCCATAACCTTTTCCCCAAATGACCTAACCCTTCAGAACAGACAATTTGGCAGAGTTCATATTTGACAGCAGGGAACATTAGAGTGAAGTGGGAGTTATAAAAGGCTGACAGCTATTCTTTGGCTCATGACTCAATGTCAGCTCCAGAAACAGAAGGAGCTAATTTCCTCCGACTATGTTCCTGCCTTCAGCCCCTGCACCGTTCTGCCAGTCTCTTCAACTCTGCTAAACAAAGCTCAGTGTGATCAATGTTTTTACAATACAATATCTCAAACGAAACATTTGAGATTTTGTATTGTTTTACTTAATGTGCATTATTGCAGTGTGGATTATTGCACACTAGCACTAATGAGTTCTCTTCACAAAACAACTTCTAATTTGGACGGTTTTAAGCTTTTATTTTATTGTTAGCTACAGATGTGCACCCAAAAAAGTCATTTCTAAAAAAAAAAACAAAACAAAAAAAACACTTATTCCACACTACTTAGCCAGAGAGAAAATGAAAATGAAGATAATAGTCGATTTTACCCTGCAGGACAGAAGTGAAGGAGTGATGCAGTGATGCTTTCTATGATATGTTAAAATTATAAAATAATCCAGTGTGAAAGAGCAACATACAATCAGGATGTAGTATTATTTCACCATTTATTCTTAATGATATTAAATTGGTATGTGACAAAAACAATGACGATTTTTATATCTCACAACAGTAAAAAAAATATTACCCTGTCATTACACAAAGCCTACAAAAGAATGAAACAACATGTGAAACAGTTTGTGATAAATAGTGTGTGTTCTTACCACTCCTCCATCAGGGTTGCGGATGTATCCATAACCAATAGTTCTGTCGATAAAGAAGCCGTATTCAGAACGTCTTAGGTGACCCACAGGGACGCCATTTCTGAAGATGGCCTCTAGACCAAACATGGGCACTTTCCTGTTTCAAAAGCAATGTGAGAATTCAAATTATTATAGGATACTGCAAACAAGCATTATTTCTTCCACATACTCATCAATGGTAAAGCAAACAATTTTCCTCTTCAGGCCCTCTTTCTTCTGCTTTTCCAGAATATCCCGTCCCTGGAATGGGATGGAGCTCTTGAGTTTGCAGGTGAAAGCTAGACCTGCCTCTAAAGGGGTGTCATCTGGACGGAGGTCAGCATGCCAGTGTCTATACCCTAAAAGACACAGGGATTAATGCAAAAAAAAAACCCAAAAAACACTTCTTGTCTGACAATAACTATCTTACATCTGTTACATTAAGTGCAAGATATTTAAATAGAATGATAAAATATATAACATTTACAGCATAAAAAATACACATTTGATTTGTTTTAACCTTAAATTATAATTTGAAAAAAGTATTGAGAATTAGTCATTGTTGGTTGTGCATGCTATGCTATATTAGGGTTGGGCAATTAATCAAATGTTAATCAAATTTATGTTTATTTATTTCGGACAGTAATACATAGAACATAAATTAAAAAACAAAAACAAAAAACTAATTTAATTTAAGTTTCAGTTACGTCTAAACATTAATGATATGTTTAGCTTTGGTCTATTTATGTTTACAGCCAATCCTCTTTAGTAAAAGCATATCATTTGGAGCAGAGTTCAGATTTTGGAGATTTTTTTTTTTTTTTTCAGATTTTGGGCTATTTTTTATTAAATGTTCATGACATCAATACTGACATCCTTTTTTTTGGTTTGGCCATAACACCAAGCCCTAATAAGCGCACTGTTGAAAATAATTACCTTTCTCTATGCTCAGGGAATCAATGGCTCGATAGCCTGAGTTGATGATGCCGTGTTTGGCCCCGGCGGCCATGACAGCTTTGTAGACTGGAATACAAGAGTCTTTGGGAATGTGCAGCTCCCAGCCCATCTCACCCACAAACGACAGGCGCATGGCTCTCACCTGCCGACAGCAGAGGGTTACAGATAAGAGGACATGGAGGACCAAGCTTTGGATCTCCTTTTGAGCCCATATCACACAAATACTTTATCCTCAAGGACTCACTGTACTTGTCGTGAATCCTAATGCTCTAATGCTGTTCGCTTTGGTGTGCAGCTAGTGTGCAAGCCTGTGTGCAGTTACGAATAACAATGCAAGAGATGCAAGAGCCAGATAAAGTGTACAAAAGAGAAACATGAAAATGCAATCTAGTCCTAGAAATCTACTCTGAAAGGTAAGAGGAGGAAGGGGACAAAGGAATGGTAATATAAGACTTTTCATTAATAGTATAAAGTAGCAAAAAGAGTGTACCATTTACTTGAATAAGATTTAAGAGTTTATTCAGCTTCCTCTTCTCTGGGTGGATGATTGCTGGTGATTTTTATGTATTTGGACAGAGGAACATTAAATTAATTTGTAATTTTGTTTATATTTGTTTTTATAATTTGACAGTTTTTGAGTGCTTCCCGTTTGGAAATGACTTCAGAACACAGGCCATGTAATTATGAGCTTTAACAAAAAGTCCACAGAAAAATCCTGAAGTAAACATGCTCTCCACCAGCGGGAGTTTCGCGTGTGGAGAGCCATCCTGCCAGGCCTGGTTCACTCCAGGCCTTGTGTTAATGCCAACTAACAGTGGCAGTGCATACGGGCTTATGGTTATTCACAACACTCACTTGAACAAAGAACACAAATTCAAGGAGACGTGACAGAGACAAGTAAGCAGAGAAATACATAAACACAGACACTCATAACCAAGCAAAAATGGCACCAACAATTGTTCCTAGTTTGAAACATGTGGAACCGAAGAAGAGCGGGGCTAATGAGCTGTGAGGAGAGTCAGGGGCAGGGAGACGGAGGGGGCGCTCTGTTCTCGCAGCGGTGCAGCCATTAAAATGTCACCCAGACAAGGCCAGCAAGCCAGCAGGAATACAGCCGCGCAAACACAATCCAAAGATACGCTCCACAATCACCACACTGCTGCATAATTCATGCAACAGTGACTAAGAAGGAACAAGTGTGCGTGTGGACATATGTGTCTCTGCATGCGCTTGGACATAGAGGACAACATGCATGCTTTGATGTACAGCCAAGAGCAGTGTGAAGGTCAGGGGCTGCTACAACAAACATTGACTTTGGCTGAGGCTGTGAGCTCATGATAAACCTCAGTTAAACCCAAACTGTTACAAAAACATACTAGATTTTAAATGAGTCATAAAACAACAAATATCAAATATCGAAAGCAGTTCTGTTTCTTTCAATGGTTCATCTATCTCAAAAATTATACTCACAAACAGGTGAAGTCAAACTGGGCCTACACCTGTGTACTAGTCTATTTAATTTTGCTGTCCATTCATTTATTTCGTGCAAAATGTGGAAAATCTATTCATTTCATCAACACCTACAATGTGGTATTAAACTCAGGTTGATCTCAATTTCAACACTGTTTATGAAACATACCATTAGTAAGTACAGTGTTACCTCACCTGATGCCCCGCTGCATTGACTACTTTATGAGAAGAGAAAGGGAAGGCTTCATTGCTAAGGTCTGTGTCCAACACCTCTTGAAGCACAGCTCGACTGCAAGCAAAACAAATGATGGCATTAACATTAAATAGTGTGCAATACTGCAATGGATGTGAATGTGTACTTTTATAAAACACATAGAACTATAAAGCAGGATTCTCTGGTCCAGTCACCATCATTACATAATGATGAGTCAAAATAGGCCTATGTATAGCACCATTATCTACCGTCTGTGAGTGAGCAGGGATTACAATGCCTGATGTCTTTCATGGGATATTTTTTCACATCCCAAAGCCAAACATGGGTGTATTTGAAGAAAGGTACAAGTTATGCTTTGACTAAAGCCTCCAAATGTCTGTGTAGGTGTTAAATCAATAGGAAAGTAGGAACAATAAGATGTTAATGCTATCAAAAGGTTAACTATAACATTATAATATTATTTTGTTGCTGTCCAATTTTAAGAAAAATATTATTAGGTATCAGATTTTCACATGGAGTAAAATGAGAACTGTGGGTGAGGGTACACCATGAAATTATTCATCTACTCTCTCATAAATTAAATTAATGTATCAATTTTCTTATCAATGATTGTAATTATTATAATTTTCTTACTTTGTGTTTTCAAGCTTTATAATAAAAAAAAGAATGTATAAAAGTCCACAAGTCAATGTTTTTCTCCAGACTGTCTGCCAATTTCCGCCTCTCCACTGTTTTGTTTGCTCAACTCAAAAGCCTGAAAGCAAGGCCAATTAGCTAAATATAATCAGGGAACAGCACTGGACTGTGTATACACTCTGCCTGCATGTGAGTCTGTGGTGAGGGGCTTGCAACCGGCAATTTGTTTTTCTAACATGCCACTTAGCGAAGGTTCTCATCTCTACGCATGCACGCTCAAGAGGGGCTTGCTCAGAATATATCACACAGTTTCATGTTTTATAAATAAGGTTTGTAATTAAAACGCAGACAGCTCTCAACCAACTCAAGTGACTGGCAAGCTTAGTATGCGACTAAGTGCCAGATCTAGTGTCTCAGGAGAATTTGAATGAGACATATCTGCAAGGGAAAAACAGACAGATCAGATTTTTCATAAACATGGTAATTTCTGCTGTGCTTGAGCTCGAAGGAGATTAAATTACTTTAGGAAAACATACCAATAATGCTAACTTGACTTAGTGTAATCCTCAGAGATGACAGAGACCAAATTGTGATGTTCAAACCAATATTTAAAAGGCATATCAGCTAAAAGAAACGCAATGCAAAAGAGGTTATCATATTCAGGGCTGCCCATTGCGAATGTATCAATACTGTAGTATAATCAAACACTACTAGTATATTGATTAAAAACACATCGTAATAGCATTAATGATTTTTCTATTTTCTGGAGAAGCATGTGAATATAGTGCATGAGTATATAAAGTTTTAGGAAGTTTACCCAAATTGATTAAAAGAAATATTTAAAGAATAAAACCTATTTTACCACTTCACTACCATTCTAGGTTCACCTGTTATAATGTAATTACAATTTTCAATGTCATCATTTTTCTCAGTAAGCAACATGCTCTATAGTTAATCTTTGCAGGGTAAGGTTATAGTATAATACAATCTATACACGTATGTTCCACTTAGTAACACATTGATTTTAACTTTGACGTAAGCAGCCTTATGAAAAAAAAAATCCTGATAAATCCAAAAAAGGAAAGAGTGCATGAGCTAGAGATTGTAGAAAGGAAGGAGTGGGGAGAAGGAACTCAATAGTACGAACACAGAAGTTGAGAAGAGTCCGGAAGGAGCAGATATCGACCCAGCCCACACAGAGAGGAGATTGGCCTAACCCTGGTACTGCTGAGGGGGAGAACAAAGACAGAGGAGGCGATGGAGAAGGACAGGAGGTGAAAGGGGAGGAACAGAGAGGGATGAGGATTGTACAAGCCGATGGGTGCCAGGTAAAGGTGGTCTGCACTGTGCTTCACGGAAAGAACAAAAGAAATAGTGTAAGAGGGGGAAAGAAAGCGACAAGCACTGAATACCTCTGCTACTCTTACTCTAGCTAAAGGAACAGGTATTTCCACAGCCTCAGAAAACTGCAGCTTGGACATTTATTAACAGATAAGTAAACATTTAATCCATCATTTTACTATTTATTTAGTTTTTCCATCAATGTTTACTGTACTTAACTATAATATGGTATACAAGTTAAATCAAACTATACATATTTTCCAATCCCCAGTCCAAATCCAGATAATAATTACCTGAATGTGAACTGTGTGCATGCCATTAAATCAAAACTATGATGGTACGTTCTGTCAGGCAGGTACAAGGTGTAAGGTTAACATTTAAAAGCTTAATTAAAATGTATGCAGCATATTTTTTTGTCACGCTTTTCTCTTTGTAAGTCTGCTTTTAAACTGTTTTTGGTTCTGAGTCAGAGGAATGTGTCAGAATTAGAATTGTATCAGTAATAATGGCAACAACAATATATTCTATCCTCCCCTCAGACTGTCTAGCATACAGTCACCAGGTCTATAAGAAAACACTTTTTTATCTCAGTGTCACATTATTGATTAGCTTTATATATTTCATGTGTAATTTAGGCCCTGTTACACCTCTACCTTTTGGGTCCCTGTATACTGATCATGCCCATGTCTTCAGAGTGGTCTGTGAGCTGGCAGCGAAATCCTTGGTCTTGGAGAACTGTGGAGATATGGTTCCAGTTGTGTTCCGCCACACCGCCTCCAATTGCGAGGTAGTAAGCATCACCTAGAATGCCAACAATTTTATTCCAAGTAGACTGTGTAAAGAATAACAACACAATACAATACAATAATACAATTCTTAAATTACATGAGATTTGCTATTTTGTTGTGCTAAAAAGAGTATTGGACGCCTCAGTATGAATAATTTTTACACATACATATTATACACAAATCTGGACAAAAACTACTAGTGTTTCTCACCATTGGATGCAGGTGCCAGAGGCAAGTTGGCAGCACCAGGCTCCAGTCTGCTCACAGTCAGGTCAGCCTCAGATCCTCCTCTCTTGTTCAGCATACAGGTGTACACAGTGGATCCTGAAGTACACACAGGCCATTAATGCTGCGGCATCTTAAGTAATTACGTGTGTTGGGTGTATAGTCCCTAAATCCAAACTAAAATTAACTCTGACAACAAACAAGAATATTTTGATTTAGTGCCTGTGTTACTTGGATTGTGTGAGAATGCAACTGCGAATGTAGTCCTACATTCTAATTAGGTGCACTATATAATTTACGGTTATTGCTTTGCCAGGCATATTCCACAGTATAGCAATATAGTTGTCAATCTTAACACAAGTATATTTTAGCATGCTCGCCTCTACATGTCAACTTAGTCTGCCTGGTGGCATCATCTGCAAGTCTCCATAGAGATGTATCATTTTAATGCCATTCTGTAAAAAAATTGAGGCAAAGTAAAAACATATCCAAGGCGATAAGCAGTTGAGAAGCAAGCAGACCCTCTACCAGAAAAGTTGCATTAGTGCATTTTTACTGAAAATGCTTTTAAATGTGTGTTCATATGGACAATGAAGTAAGGAGAGAGCAGCGGGTATATACCTGTGGTGGTGAAAACAGGGATTAATCTGCAATATGGTGCTCAAACATAGATAAAAGCTCAAAAAAGTTAATTTTGCACAATAGGTGTGCTTTAATCATAACTGTTAATCAAAGTTCAGCAATGAAAGTTAACATTCATTTTGCAAAAGTGACCCTTGATATTATAGCTGCAAGACTGGATTCAGTACCAGGTTAATAGTTCAGGATTTAAATGATACTTGCTGAATGAACAATTGCACTTAAATAAGCCAGAGGACTTAAAAAAAAACAGATTTGTTTCTGTCTGAAAGAGTAAAGAGGAGAAGTCATTCAAGTCATAGCTAGAGTTGGTCCCTACAGTACTGCAGTCTGATTCAGTTCACACTCCTACTGCCTCAATTCCTGCCAACTCAGGTGAGACTGCCAATCATCGCCCGGAGTGGGTCTGGCTGTCAATATCACGGTACAGCAGTGGTTCACAAGGTAAGCATTGTAGAGTAAGAAATGTTACATGTTCATGGCTTCAGAGTGCACTCCACCTGTTTATCTTTCCTTGACAAAGTTTTCAGGCTGCAACCGGACCTACCTGGCTTTTTGTTGACATCAGCAGTGAATAACCAATCAGCTGCTTTTTTGGCATCTGGCCCAGTGAGATAGAACTTCCCGAAATAGGACATGTTGAACACAGCTACACCATTTCTGCATGTAAGGCACTCGCTTTTAATCTAAAAATTTAAAAAAATTATGATTACACCTTTTTTATACACACATTTTCATACCATACTCTATATTACGGTACAACAGCTCACCCTTATGTAATAGATAACCCTATGTCCTGTCAATCATCATATCATCCTTGTACTGTTTCTCCGTTTGACCTCTTGTATATTGCTGAGATATTTTTATACTTTATTTCTATATTTTATTTTATTCTGCTACATATTTAGAATGTATTATTACCATTTATATTTTTTTCTTAGTTATTATATTATATTGTGTGAGCTACTGTGTCCAAGTAATTTAATTTGTGAATCAAAAGACTTTGTCTAAGTCTATGTTTATAAAGGTGACTCAAGTCAAATGATTACTTTTTTTTTTTTCCCTTTATCTTACCACGTCATGGTGTGGGGGGAAGTCAAAGGTGTATTCTTTTCCAAGTAGTTCATTGTATTTGTAGTTCACATTTGTTGGAGTGTCATATGCACCATAGTAATCATAGTCTTTAACCTTTGCAAACAGAGAAGATAACATGTATTAGAACATTCTGCAACATGTTACAGAGATTTAAATCATAATCTTATATTCATACATCAAGTGTAGATTTAGTGGCTTACTGGATGTGTATATGATATAACTTACAGGTGCAGGTCCATCTTTGTTGAACCAGCCTGGTCTCTCCCAGCCATGCCTCTCCTGGAATACACAGCCCTGCTCCGTCAGCACCTGCAAATGAGGCAAATAACACAGTTTAAACTTTTACCTTAACAACGTCATAACATTAAACAGTGCATCATGATCTGCAACAGGAAAATATGATTAAAGGTGCACTATGTAATATTTATGGTAGAGGGTCCACCACCTGTTGTTTCCATAGATACAGTATGTTACTGATTAGCAGTGAATTCCACAGTATGGCATTCAACTTTTTATTCAGTTAGTGTTTTTCATAGCTCAAGAATACTTTGGAAAATGTGCATTCTCATGGAGACATAGTGGCTGTGCACCTCCACTAGAAAATGTATATAACTGAATACATTAAAACAACATATTTCCATCATTCCTTAAGCTATAAATCATTCACAACTCGTGTTAGATAGTTCACTGCTTGACTTGTACTTCTGTAGGCTTTGGTAAATACTAAAAAACATATTCTGAAACAAAATTAGGTATTATACTACCATTGTATGCATTCTCTGATACTGTCAGGCACATTATTTTATGATTGGCCCTAATAAAAAGATTCTTCAAAAAGCTCTCTCTACAGGGAGAGTACTGAGGATACTCAATACAATCTCTTGGGTAAAAAAAGGACCAGTGTAGCGTGAACATTCTCTGCGGTCTAGTAGTCAATACAATCATTTCAATTTGATTTGAAGCTAATAGAATTGCATTGATTGGAGCAGATTAAACACTTCAAATTAACAAGCCTGATACAACAAGATGAAAAGAACTGTCCACTCAATGACAACAGTGAAATTTAGCATGTAATGCATTATAATAAATATAATGCACTGTATTTTAGTCTTGGCACTGGTTCTTGCTAAATTGACAGACGCCCACAGTTGGTAGGTATGCTAGGCTCCGCTATGTACCGATCTGGCTCTATGTCTCCTGCCAGAACTTCCCACACAAACTATATTTACGCCCGGTGGTGCTGAGGTAGAGAAGGAGTTAGCTGCAATGTCAGAGATGCCCCAGTGGTCTTCTGAAATAAACACACAGGACATGCATGCCTTGTTAAGTGTAGGCCTCCTCATTATTTGTACAGAGATTTGCTTCCTCTGTGGATTAGGGCACTTATGAGCAGCACTCAGCTATAATACATGCTGTAATGATTAAGGGCATTCTGCTGAACAAAAGCCTAGTTAGGACAAGAAAAAGTATTTTGGTCTTCACATTTAGCTCTGGTAATATAATGTAGTTCAGGCAATTGCACTATATAAAATACAAGATGGTCATGTCAACATGCAGGCATCATGCCTGTTTATGTGGCCATTACTTTTGGAGCAACAATTACTCTTGACTTTGATTTTGAGTTACTATCTAGTTTAGGAGTAACTGCTCAATTGATGCTGTATGCCACAAAGATATTAGACATCTTCACATTACTCAGTTCAACCTATTATGTTTTGAAGCCTGGCAGTTGAGGCTGTAAAAATCCAGTAATCTTACACCAACCACCCAGAATATATAAATATAAATGGTCACATTTTTATATAGCACATTTCAACATTTGAGGCACTAAAAGCACTTTACAGCAAGGAAACATTCACCTACTCACACACATATTCATACTGCCAACCACTGGATCAGTGGACACTGTACCAACTGCGCTACTGTTGCCCTATATATTGAAAAATGTATAACATCACAATGAGATAAGATAAATTCAAATGTAACTTATGTTTTTTAAAACTAATGTTTTATTGCAAAACTATTAAATGACATCAAAAAGAGCTAATTGACACATAACCGCCAAAAATATCAAAATATTTCATTTTTTCCAAAAGCAACATCTCTTGTTGCGAATACCTTTAGAAACAGACTTTTCAATGACAAATGTTCATTTGGGTAAAATCTCTTTTTTTTTTTTTTTTTTTTTTTACACACAGGACTTCTTTTAACCCATTTCAATCATTTGAAGGTTTTTAAAAGAAGGACATCTATGCTTGCCTATTTGCAACAAAATATTAAAATTATCTTGTGTTCATCCTCTTCACATTTTGACCATTCCTAAACAGATAAAAAAAATGTTATTCTGTCATTTTGATTTATTGTGAAGGCAATTTTGTATAAATCCAACAGGCCAGTGAGTCCTTGGAGGAGGACACATCATTTTGTAAAGCCCATTTCCAATATTCCACAAATTCTCAAACCTGGTTTTCCACTCTAACTAAATAGATTCAAGTCACAAACATTTGCCTCATTTACGTCACGCTTTTGACAGTTTGCTCAATACAAAATCAGGAAAAAGACCCTGAGAGGAAACTGATTAATTATGCATGAGAGGTGTCACTGAAACTAAATAAAAGAAGCTCTGGGGGAAGATATGCTCTACAAAACATACTGACGATCACTAACGTAACTAATGTGTGATGGTAATGCGTTTGGAAAGAACAGCCACATGCATATGTGTATAGAAAGAAAAAATATTTAAAGGTAAATGAGAGACTGGAAACCAAGGCTAAGTGGATCATTAATGTGTAAAATATGGTGGCAGGGCCCATTAGGATTTAGAGCCAACTGAAAGACATCTAGGGCCAAAGCAACTAGCGCTAAGTGTATCATTTGTAGTGATGTTGGCTGGGCTTGCATTAATAAGGTAACTGCCTGATACACGCCAAGGAGCCAACAGTTCACCTTAATCAGCTGTTTACTCATGGAGCGGGCAGAGGATACTTGGACAGGGTGAGGAGTTACATGTTAAATCAGATTCATTAAGCATTTTTTGACATTTATGTTAATTTTTGATTGCATTATTAATTCACTCCCCATATTTGGTGGAGGTGAGCTTGTATTTCAGAGGTAGGCAGATTAATGACAAACAGGTAATATCATAATGTTGTTTTAAAGATATACAAAATTAAAAAGTTAATTTGTTGTGATGTCGCCTTCAACTAAGCATATTAAATGAACTTTCTGCAGTTATGTGGGTAATTTCATAGTAATAGTGTCTAAATACCGGTATCGTATACACCCAAAAAATCTTGAGACATTCAGTGTTGTCAATATCCTCTGGTCCTACATTAACCAATACTGCCGTACTCATGGGCACTACAACTACTTCTTCGACCACCATAGGTCACACACCATATTGACAAATAGTCAAAGTGGGTAAAGTGCGTTACTGTGAAGTTTCAAGGCCTCAACAACAATATACAGTCCGTCCCTCGCTATATTGCAGTTCACCTTTCACAGTCTCACTGACTTTTTTTTGTGCAATTTTGTATGCTTTTTGTTTTTACAGTGTATGAACACGTATTGCGTTCCTCCCGCTGCGTCCTGACTGGCTAAGGGACTCCTGTCTCCTGTACAGCACAGTACAGAATGTGTTCAGCTGCCGAATTTACATAAATGTTGGATCTCTGGCAGTGTGAATCTGGGGTGCTGTATGTTTGCAAGTTTTCTCCCCGCCAAAACCCACAATGTCGGCAAAACGTTCTGCACCAACAAAGGCTCCTGCTGTCGCACCCAAAAGGCAGAGGAAGATGTTAACCATCCCACAAAAAGTTGGACTTCTGGACACGCTGAAAAAAGGTAGAAGTTACACGCTGTACCAGAGTCTTGCACCAGGGTCGGGTACCCATAAATAGTTGCTGAAACCAGGACCACGAGCCCGCTTAGCACGGTGTCCGTAAAGCACGACTACGGCCACACTTACCTTGGTGAGGTGCGGAAGTGAGCCGGTCCTTTCTCCTGCGGTCACCTTCAAGCCCATCCCAACAATGAGTCCTCTTTCATTTTAGGTTTAGTCCTGGTTTACTGCTGTTTTAGTCCTGGAATCAGTCCGAGGTTAGTCCTGGTTTAGTCTTGGTTCAGTCCGTGGAATATGCTGCGCAAAAGGTTGATATAACCTTGGTTTAAGGGGCAGGTGTGGTGCTGTACTGCACAGTGCAGGACTCTGCGCTGTTGAGCTCCATTACGGAACAAATGAATCTTCGGTTTGTTACATAAAGAAGGAGGAAAATAACTTTAGGATGACAGCAGCAATAAGTTTTAAGAAGGATGCAAAAAGGGTTAACTGTCCTGTCTGAGAAACGTGTATAAAGTATGTGGTGAGGTTTTACAGCCTTAAAACAGATATAATAATTGTAAAATATAAAGTTGACTACTTCGCGGATTTTACCTATCGTGGGTTATTTTTAGAATATAACCCCCGCGATAAACAGGGGACCATTGTATACACAAAAAGCATATATATGTACCAGATATAATAACTGTAGTATCAAATAGCATGCAGCAATCTTGCAGTAAAATGAGATATTTAACATAATATGGTTACAAATATATGGTAATGTCACCATTTTCCAGGGATATGTTACACTTTATGAACCCATTTTCATTATCTGTGAGCAGTTTTGAGAAGTCACAAGTTACAAAGTAGGGGGGTACAGTTTAGTAACAAAGTAACTAGTTAATCGAAAATTGAGTAATTAGATTACAGTTACTAGTTACTAGGGCTAGTAATTTTCAGTTACTTTTTCCCTGACAAAAATGTGTGTCATCCATTAGAACTGTGTCATAAAACAGTAAAAGATAAACAGGTAGCACAGGATGCCCTCTTCTGGTGTCAGAGGCAGAACAGCTCTGAACCAAAACAGCACAAATACTGCTTTAAGGAGGACTGTGTGTATCGTCTCTTGACATTAGGCTCTATAACAGAAAGTCTCATTTAGAGTGAAGAATTCATGCTGGTAATTATTTTTTAGAAGCAATCAGTATTCAGTAGTCAGTAATCCAGTTACTTCTGCAAAATAACTTGACCAACACTGATTATGAGTACTGAAATCTAACAGGGAAACTTTGGACCTTTGGCAGGAATTGACGAAAGCACAATTTCAGGTATACATGTTTTTACACAGAGTTTAGGTGTGCTTCCAGTGTTACTGTCCAAGGACATGAAAAGATAGCCTGCCAAAAAATTAAAAGTAAAAGATGAATGATCCAAACATACTGTATATTTAAATGTCATCATGACCAGACCTAGTCCGTAAGCAGAAATGCCCCTTTTTACATCCTCACATTGCTCTCTGAAATATGAGGTGTGGATTGAGCAACAAAGTGTACTATCAACCCAGCAGAGGTGAGATGAAAGGGACATTAGAAGGAAATTGGTGAAATGTGGTGAAAATAATGTTGTTGATGATGATGCCAGGGACAGAGAATGAGTCACAACAGAATTATAATGAAAAAAAAAAAAAAAAAATGAGTCACACAGGTCTGAGTGTACAGCCGTTCAAGCTCAGAAAAGTGAGAATAAATGGCACATAAATATAATATTCCAGGAAAGCATCTAGAGAGGACCTCGGGCAGTTCCTGATTGTAAACTATGAATCACAACTGAACTTCAAACATGTATTCATTTTAATTATTGTAAATAATATAAAAATAATATAGAGAAATTAAAGGTTATGCGTTTGTGAATGTCTTCCTTTGTAAAAGATGATTTGACCATCCAGAATGTAGGGCTGCTTGATTATGGAAAAATGAATTACTTTAATTACTTTAATCATAACTGAAATGAGGATTATTCAAACTATTATTTGCACAGACAGAAGGCAGTGTATGAGCATGTATAAATTTAAGAGAAGGAACACATTAAATGAAAGATGAAAGTATTTCACAAGTAAAAAGCTCCAACCCACTGCAACTTTTTCACTCACTAATACCACTAACCTAGAAGACCAATAGGAAAAAACAGTCTCTTTGACCCCCTAGGAGACACTGTGATCCCTGCTGTGCCTGTGTCTTGTTTACCTGATGGAAAGGGTCTCTCCTCATGTTGCGACTAGCCAGCGGCTCATCAAAGGGGAACACCACAGAGTAGTTTTTGGCATAGGACTCATGGCTGCGCTCTCGAATCCACCGGTTGTTATCAGTCAGAGAGTGATGGAAACGTCTGCAAAACAGAAGGAGATTCATTGTAACAGCAACTGAATGTTTACTAACATTATATTCAGCATAATTTTGCAAATGTTCTGAGATTTAAACCACAATTCCAACTCCACGTTGTTTATTGTTTTGATATTGTACATTAGAGGAGACTAACCTGATGTCATATCCGTACATGTCCTTCTCTGGGCGCCCGTGAATGATCCAGTGAGCCAACTCTCTTCCACAGCCACCACCCAGCATCATACCTGCAATAAAAATATATGTATAATTAAAAAAGGTTATAATAGTAAAAAAACACAAATGAACATAAAAAATACAGGAAAATTACTAGACAAAACCAATTCTGAAGTTGGGAAAATGCATAAAATGAATGTTTGGTAATTCTTAGAAAAAATACATATATTAGATGTTGAAATTATAGAATTAACAAGTTTATTATATTTGGTGAGGCAGCAAAAAGTGGCAATAAACTGGATTTTTACTCTGTAGTTTTTGGAATAAATGTTTTTGGGACAGGTGGAAATGAGATGATAATACATTTTTCCACACCTTTACAATGAATGTGTAAAAATGTTGTGAGATTTACTGACTAGGCAGAATTTTAAAACAAGAGTGTTCTTCTGCCCCATCCAGGGTAAGTAATATTCTGTTCTATTTCTGCCACTGTATGTCACTGAATGTACACATGAGTGCTTTGACCCTTGTTCCATCATGTGACCATAATTTACAGCTGCCCTTGAGGAAGATGACCTCATCCATGGCAATTTAACCCTTATTTATTCCATACACATTCTCACAAGGCTTGGCTACTCCATTTTACACAACCATTTTCTTATGTTGTAATGCAAACAATTTTTTTTTCTTTTTTGCATTTTCCCTATATGAGCAGAAACAACCAGATTATTCTAGAGTTAAGAGCAGAATACCATTATTGACAGACATGACAGTTGTGTCCTTGCATTCATTTTTCTTATCCATCCACCTCAGCTCACTTCACTTGTGCCAGAGAGGACATTTAAATGCTGTATGGCCTGACAGTGGGATGGAGGTGGGCTGGGGAAAACAGGCTATAGAGAAGGTGGGAGGGGGTGATGGAATTGTCCTGAGACGCAGTGAAGACACTCGGTGAGGCAGAGGTGGCACTGATAAATGTCAGGGGAGATAGCGGCTGGGATGTAGGAGTGCAGATGCGCGTGTGAACCTCCTGTTTCATCTTGTCACTCTTCTTGTACAGGTTGTGTAAATACTGCTCTATTGTGGTTGGTTTATGCTCGGCAAACACTTGGATCACCCCAGCAACAATCCATCACATTTACACTGGCACAACAAGCTGTAATGGATATTAATTTAAGGTCCATACACATACCGGAATGGGATTTGTCGGCAGAATTGCAAAAACAGTACATCCAAAGTGTGCACAAAACAAACTGTTATGATTCAATCTGAAATAGTCGCCATGCTAGGCTATCAAGTTGAAGGCCATCAGTTCGAACCCCACTTGAATGTGTACTGTCCTTGTGTCCTTGGACAAGACACCTCGCTGACATTGCCTAGTATGAATGAGGTATGTGTGTGGGGAATTGGTGGCTGGAGGGCCTGTGGTAAAGATTGGCAGTCAGTCGACAATATATTAGACACTGTACAACTGTATTTTTATTATGATAGCTCTTTCTAACTTTCATTTGCTAAATTGATAAATTTAACTGAAAATATTTTATAAGCGGTATTAACACTACACACTTAAAGTCAACTGTTAATTGCCACAGTCACAAGTGATGGATGATTCAGCAGAATTACAGTTTGTGATGTACTTTAATAATGCAGACATACAGCCACTATTTTAAATAGTTCACTCTCAACTTTACCAATTATTTTTGTCCCACTGGCTTTAATGAGAAAAAAACTTTTAATAGCTTGAGTGAATTAATAGTCTTTAAAAAACCCTCCTTACCAAAGTCCATGTAAAGTTGAACTTAAATAAATAATTGAAGTTTCTTTCCCATGGAGAAGTACTTACACATAATAGATACTGTACAAATCATGAAGCTGACATAAGGTGCAGATGTTAAGTGTAATTAGAGAATTATCAAAATACATAAATAACTACACTTCAGCAGTTGCTAGGCTACAGACATCTGGTTGTGTCTATGCTTGGCAACTCAAATGAAAGACCAAAAAGCAAAATGAGTTTGCATACCCAAACCTTAATTACAAATACATTTTTATATATGCCAGGAATCATTATGCACATCTGAAAGTCATTCAATATATATTTTGAATCTTGAACGATACCATTGATATTCTAATATATTTTATCAAGGCTATGCTGTTAAAATCTCAGTAAGCATGCCGTCTCTAAATATAAAAGTATGCTATCCGTGAAGAAAAATAAGAGCAGGGTATAACTGCAGACATTTTTTTGATTGCATAACATGAAAGACTTGACTAGGCTGTTGGACAATAGGTCTGTCGACTGGCCTTTGACACACTTACAATAACAGATAAATGGAGGGAGACATAAAATGGGAGGACCTGTGCTGAAGAGAAATCATTAGCACTGCAGCCCTCGGTGCCACTGAGACTCCACATATAACACTTAAACCTGACCTTCAAGTCTATATACAGTTCTTGAGTTGAAATCCCACAACTATCCATTAACATCCATTTACTTTGCCATTTATGCCACCACTCTGCCCCTGTGGACCTTGGAGATAATCACCTTTTCACTATGTAACGTTAACAGTGACAGTTTACAGTTGTCTGTACATGTCTGTTCTCTATGGAGTAAAATGAGGAGTAGTCCATTATTTACTGTGCCTCCAGAGAGAAGGCAGAGCAGTGAAGACAAACACCCTTGAAATGTCACTAAGGACTTGTTCTGCACCTCCATTCTTTTTCTTATAAAAACTGCATCCAGCCTTTTGACTGAATCCTCAGTTTTCCTCCAGGATCCAATACTTTGCAGTGTGTACAAGTAAGCAGTTGTATTGCTGTGTTACAAATGGAAGGATCTGGCATTAGGTCCACAGTTGACACTTTTTCTATCACTGTATTGAACTTACCTGCACTGTTGAAACCGCAACCCAAGAAGTACCCTCTGACCTCTGGAGCCTCTCCCATTAAAGGCTTGTGGTCAGCCGTGAAGGACTCTGCCAAACAAGCAGGAAGTATGTGATTAATACAACTGGCAGCAAACAGCCTTTCTTGGCACATAAATGCTACTACCTGCATCTCTCCGTATTCAGATGTTGGTAAACAACATTTGGTTGCTTTGAATACATTTTATACCAACCAATCATCTACGATTTCTTGTGTGCTCATATTATGTCTTCCTCTATCAAACCAAAATACTATAATCAAAATATTAAATAATCAGCTTGCACATAGCAACAACACTAAAATAGAAATTCAGCAACCTGCCAAGTCTCCTGAAGCTTAACATTTCATTATGTCTGCATCCTTTTTGAATTATGGGGCACATGAACTAACCATACACTACCCAGTATGCTGCAAAATATTTCTGTTTAGTTTTTTAAAGTTTCACTATCTAATGCTTTTCAGTTTTATTATTGGTGTAGATTATGCAGATATTGAGTGTCGGTTGATTGCAGTAGGATTTAAACAATATAGTACATATTTGATTTATATTTCCCATTTTTCCACAAATGATTGTATATGGTGAACATTTCATGTACACACATTTGATTTTCTCTGTGAACATCCACCCCTCTGTGTGATGATGAATAAGGCCAATATGATTTTGTAACTTGTCCATCTACAGCTGACCAATTTGCTGCTATCATTTTCCTCTGTAAATATAGGATCCTAGTTTATGTATTCATGTGAGCATGTGCAATAGCTTAGACTGATTCATATTACTTTTAGATTAAATATTGTGGGTTGCTTAGTGTAATCCATGAAAAAATGGTATGCAATAGTCCCCATCCTATCTAATGTGGTGCTATGTGACTGTGTGTGTACCTGGTCCGCACACTGTGGACTTGATACCAGTCTGCTCCAGAACAGGAACTCTGTTGATTGCTCCCTCAATATGTTGCATAAAGACATCCCAGTCCAGGTCAAATAAACTGAAGGCAAATTTATCGGAAACCTACAAAATGTAAAACATATAGAACATGCATGACTAACAACCCTTTTCCAAATGTTGCTGGTATCTGAAAAAAATATTGTTTGGGGAGATACTGACCAATGTAAACTGAAAACACCTAACTAGAGGTTTAGAGATGATCTGACTCCATTCCTCACAATTGAGCCTTGCTATATTTACACGAAATGACAACAAATCATTTCATGTACGAAATGACAACAAATCATTCACTTAGTTATCAGTAATCAATAATCCTGTTATGCTATTGAGGTATTTTTCAATATGTAGATGATAACCTATGAGCTTCTACTACTGATGTGTTATTACTCCCCAATACTAATTCAAACTAAAAGGAAATTATCTCAATAATTATGACAAGAACATGATGGCTGTGACTAAAAATGGGTCTTAAAACACAAGTGAGGAGAAATGCTGGTACAATCCAATAGCAGCTGCCGAATGGCCCCTCGTTCACTGGGGAATAAACATCTGTCAAAGCGGGCCAGCCCTCTCTGTTCCGTGTCCAGGCTTTAATTTGCTCCCATCTGGACTGCTTCCTGGTCAGCTGGGCCAAAATGCAGTCTTTAGCTCCTCCATCTCCTGCTGTGGAGCGTGGACCGCCTTGCTCTAAAGCACTCTCCTCCTCCTACACTAATCTAAGTGACTCAGCGGGCTCAGATTATCCTCCGCTCACCACCTTGTGCTCTTTGCAGGATTTGGTAAGTCACGTACTTCTTCCATTCTTGGCAGCGCTATGGTCGCTGCTCCTCTTGACACCCTCCTCCTGCCCGGCTCCTACGTTTTTCTTTTCTTTAAAGAGGTGCCTTTCTGAGTCATGCCATACCTAAGCATCCACTGCCTGCCAACTTGGTGGTTAAAAATACTTGCAATATACAAAGTTCACTTCTTTATTTATGAAAACCACTGATGGCAATACACATGAAACACTGAGGCTATGTGCTAACAGCATGATTCAAATAGTAAATGTTACCATGCGAGATTTTATGAACACATGTTTAACAAGAATGGAAAATAAATTATTGTTCAGCACTGCTATTTCTTTGCATTCAGAGAAGTGTGAACTGATGACAGCCCATTACCTCCTCCAACGTGTGTTATATAATCATAAGACTTCAATAAAAGGCAGCTGTATTTTGACAATAAAATAACTGTTGAATACTTGTCCAACACTCCACATGCACATCAATGCACAGCTATCATCAGCACTTATTCTTACCCATTAACATCTTCTGCTCTTTTATTCTCTCTGAGCTAATACTCTTTTCAGTATCTCCTGTCTTTTGCACCACATTCACTTGGGGACATCAAAGCAACACTCAGCTGCAGTACAAGAACAAAAGACACTGCCTCCACACAAAGAACTATGGAACATTCACCAAAGAATATGAAGACCAACAGCAAGAGGAAAGAGACAGGTGAGAGCCAATGACTCAAACCTTGTGTCTCCAATTTGGGTCATGACAGAGATTATTCAGCATTATTCAGTGTTAGATTATCTCAAACAAAAAATGTTTAGGGCTGGAGACTGAATACATTATACAGTATACAGTCAAAAGAAAGAGCTAAATATAGAGTTTTTGTTCACACAGACCTCTGGCAACAGTCAAAATGAACTTTAGCATTAAACCATACCTGAAAAGGTGCAGGCAGAAAACTTCTGTCCTACAACCAACAGCCAAAATAGAATCTGGCTCTACAATTATAAATCATAACTGTAAATCATTACCTAAAGTAATCTAGTATGTAAATTCAAATACAAACACCACTGACCTTGTGTTCTAATTCAACACATGAGAAATCTGACTCAAAGATACAAAAATAATTTCAGACTTTTACAGACTAGTAACTGTCAATGTTCTCTTACCTCTTCCCAGAAAATTGGGTTTTGCTCATAGCCTCCCACAGACAGGGCATCACCTTGGAGACGGAGATACACTGATGCATCATGGTCTCTGACATTTGGCATGTTCTGCAAGTAAAGGGTGCATACATTACCTGAAAATATGTAGTAAACTGGGTATAATTCTATGTCCTATGTGAGGACAGAACTACTACAACTGTGTAGTAGTTCTGTTGGGAACTACAACTGTGGGGCTGGGAATGTTACGCAAACTTCTTGCTTGGAAAACCTTACATGACAGTATGCAACTCAGGCCATAGGTAGAATGACAGCATAATGGCCCATCTGTATGTAAGGTTTAATATGCATACAATTTATTTTGTAGAAGGATAACACATCTTAGGAGATAATATAATTTACATATAATTTATACATTTTGTTCAACTATTTTTCTTATTTGAACCTGCAGTTCTCTCAGGGCTCAAAAGCAAGTAGCATAGATTAGACTGACATTTAAAATGTACTTGCTATACAATAAATTAATTTCTTGTACCCAGTGCTTTCTACAAACTATAGTATTCCAAATGACTGTCATTCACTCACTCTTACAGATGAGAAGACACGCCAAATAATACTATTTGGAATCTTGGACATTTCAATATGTTTTTCACCACTACTGGGCTGCAATCTAGCATTCAGTGACTGAGCTAGCCAGGCTAGAAACAAAGCAAAAGGCACAGCATCCTGTGTTTTGACCACTTGTAGCAACATTACAGGCTAATGCCTAAACCTCAATAACAAAAAAGGTCTGATTGCAAAAGACAGCACTGATGTCACATCAGTACTGTCTAGGGCTGTCTAGGAACAGGATTCACATTTTCTTCTAGTGTGAGTTTGTGTCTGTATAAATGATGTAGTAGCAAACCTTGTTAAGTTGCTCTTAAACTGACAGCACAGCTCTGGTGATGCAGCTAAACTGCTTTTCTCTACAGGATGACAACTGTTATGCAAGAGTACACAAACTACATCCTTCATGCATAGAAGTGCTAAGAACCTAACACATATAATTCACTATAAAAGGTTCAAGAGGAGGCAATTCAGTGAGTGTTTGCTGATACTGCCATCTGTTGGTTATATAACATAGTACAGACAAGGAAAACTGCTGTGTGCAAGAAATGGTAAATGTATGTGGTTACAAAATGTACCTTAAACAGCACTATTTTAGTGCGCAAGCACTTCTTAAATGATATGAACAGTGTAATCACTGTACCCCCTTTGACAAAAACATAAACAAGGATATATAAATCAAATAATATTACAAATAATATTAATAACTTTACTAGACTTACTTGAATTCCTTCTATTCTCTCCGTCACCACATAAGCATGATGCATCGCAATAAGTGGCACCTTCACCCCAGCCATTTCTCCAAGCTTAGTAGCCCATACACCTGAATATAAAATGATAGTTAGAGAAGCAGGGAAAGCTCAAATTTTGTTGCAATTTGAACAATTAGTTGTACCTGCACAATTTACAACACATGGAGTTTCGATGTTTCCATGAGCAGTCTCCACAGCTTTCACTCTCTGCACTCCAAGATCATCAGTCTTGACTTGGATACCAGTTACAGGGCAGTTTTCAATCACCTATAAATATTACAACAGATTATCAAAAACAAATGTGGCTTCTTGACAATCATAAATTGTATTATAGGTGTCAGCTTCCCGTTATAGGGAACATTTTGAGTACTTTTCACTATTCAAGTTTTGTTTTAATTTTTAAATGCTATGAAATCGATCCTGATTTTCATAATTCTGAAACCCATGGATAATTAAGAACAAAACCCAACATAATAAAAAACATGTAATTTTAAATCTGCATTCAAAAAAACAATATTGTAATTAGGGCTGGGCGATATGGATCAAAAAATATATCTCGATATATTTTGCTATATCTCAATATACGATATATATCTCGATATATGTTCAAGAAAAAATAACCCCCTAAAACTGAAAACTGCAAAAACAAATCTGCCAAATTCCACAAGGTCTTTTTTTTATTGAAGTGTAAGAGGTCGGCAGTTCATATAGGAACATTTAAGATTACAAAAAACCCTAATTACATAAATAATAATTTAACTGTAAAATAAAAGAAATAATACATATTTCCTTCTTTTCATTCATAGATAAAACATCTCAACACAAGCTCATCTTTGCATTAACTCTGTTATCCATACCAGAACCAGAACCATGAGCTCATTTAGCAGAGGAAGCTCAAGATGTTCCTTATTTTAATAGATCCATATCCAGCAGTAAGGAGCTCTGAGGTTTAATCCCACAATCCACTGCAGATCAAACCCAATGTTTCCAAACACTATTGTACAAGTGACACTGCAGCAGATTATTCATTAAAATATTCTGCATAAATAAATTTTACATTACTAAACTTTACAAGAAAAGGATAACGACTATAGAGCCACATCAGCCCGTTTGCAATAATAATGTGTTTAATGCAGTTTTGCGCACGTGTGTTTACATTTTACAGAAACGAAACTTAAGCGCACTTCTCATGCAGCTCAGCTCGTTTAGCTTCTTTCGGGCTAAAGGACGCGACTCAGTGGAATATGAGGATGTGCTGCTGATGGTTTTGTCTGTAAATGGTGTAAAAGGTTCGTGGTGCTTGAAGCTTTTACTTTCTTCGTTCAGGGCGGTAGTGAGGAGTGAAGGAGACACGAGCGAACAAAATCAGGGAGGCGGGAGCGCGCGGAGGCGACGAGAGAGAAGGTAAACAAGCGAAGTGGCGAAATCAGAATTGAATATAAGCATATATCGATATATACGATATGTCAGAATTCATATCGAGTTTTAAAAATCTCGATATATTTAAAATATTGATATATCGCCCACCCCTAATTGTAATGTTTCATCTATCAATACAGTGAAGAAGACAATGTGTATTTATTGTATCTGTATTGTATTCTTACAGATTCAGAAAACAGAAATATTTTAAGACATCAGTATATGGTAGGTCATAAAAATCCCAGATCAATACCTGTCCCATTAGAACTGAACCATCAGAAACTCAGTTACCGTTGCGCCCCGGGCTGAGGCAGCCCTGGTCAGGGTGGTACAGGTGCCTGCAGGGTCCATGGTTCCATCTTTGGGTACATACAAAGTTCCATACAGATCGTCCACATTCATGAGAGGGTACAGGTCCTTCGTCTCAGCAGGTGACAGAACATGAGACTCAATGCCATAAACTTTGCCCAGCTACAAAAGAGAGGAAAGCAAATGTGTTTAAAAGGGTCTTTAATAGTTTGCTTTTGAGGCTTAAATTGTATTTCAAGTTCATTTTATAGTTGCACATTTGTTGTATAAAGATAAAATACAAGGTTTTTCAAAAACAATTGGTTTGAAGACATACATTTGTCTAACCCTCAGTAACCTCTACATTTTATCAGGTTAGGACCACCATAGTACCATGTAGCCAACTGATGATATTAAGTCAACTAATCTAAGCAATTTCGAAAAAAACAAACAAACAAACTATGCTTAATCCTCACCGACATGAGCCGCTTGTATTCATCCAGCCTCTGTTTATTAGAGGCAATAAATAGGCCTCCATTTTGGATCCAGCCAGTGTGGAGGCCAGTCTCTTCCTCCAGGTCTCTGCTTATGACATTTCTAGTGTGTGCCAGGAGCTCAACTTCAACATCACTGGGGCGAAGCTGCCATAGTAGACCTTAAACAGGACAAGTATTATCAACTGGATTGTTTGAATATTATAATATTCTGTTGCAGCAACCATATGCTGGTGACTAGTAAACAATTTTAGATTTATTTCTTTTTAACTTCATAATAGCAGCAAATTCAAATCACAAAGAAATTATAAGGATAGTGGATTGCTTTAAACAATGTTGTATAGTCCAAAAATACTGACAAATACTGGCAAACTGCGTAATAACTAATTACTTCTTATAATATTGAAGCAAACCTGCTTAAACAGATCTGTTCATTACCTGCAGTGTGCCACGTAGTACCAGCGGTTAGTCTGTCCCTCTCCAGCAAAACAACATTGGTCATGCCCATTTTAGTCAGGTGGTAGATGGTTTGACAGCCCAGACTTCCTCCTCCAATTACTACTGCATCTGCCGACCTTCAGCAGTGAGGTGATGAGCAAAAAGCAGAAGATTTGGGGGTTTTGAAGTTTTGTAAGTACCACAGAGTCATGCTTTATTGTAGATATTAATTATCATAAAAATCTAGTATGATGATCTGTGACCAAAGGAGATATAGTGGGTTGATTATCAGTAGAGGCTCACCTGGGCAGTGGTTTGGTGGGTCCGGAGGAGGCCCCATCCTCCTGTTTAAGGGTTGTCTCGTAGGGAACACTTTTTTCTTTGGTGGGTTCTGAGCTGTAGGCCCGGGACGTAGTCCGACACAGGGAAGAAACTGGTGGCCGGAGTGATGGTATTCGACGAATTGCACTCCCTATAAAGGCCATGGACTGGATGGACAATTAGAAAATAAATATTGGTAAATACATGATGTCATTTAGTATTTACTATGATGTAATTACAGGGGGAAAATAATAATATTATAAATATAATATTATATTATAAATTGCATTGTGCACTATGAAATGTAAGGCAATCTGACCCTCTGGTCAAAGTAGAGACAATGTTGCAATGTTGCTCTATCAACATGGGGTCAGGAAAGTTGCACAGCTGACATTAGAGCTACTCATGTTATCTAAGGATAATGGTGATAATAGCATTAAATAGTCAACTGTGATTTTGTGCTTCTTTAAGTTTGTGCTTCTGAAAATATCAATTCCACAAACAACTTGTTTGCATTTTTCATGAGTGTTGGACCTCTATTTCTAAGAAAACGTGTGATTCGAATTAAAGCAGTTCTAAAAATTAACAGCAGTAGGCTACTAAAAGTGATATGATTTGGTGTTTCAATGGTATCATTTCACTTAAGCTGGAAAGTGAATGAAGTCAAGTGTTTGATAAACCACATCAGCGGCTTTTTTTTTGTCTATGATGTGTAAAATACTTACGTAACCAACACGCCACGACTTCAGTTTCACTAAAAAAAATGAATGCATGGGTTTGCATGGAGTGTCACAGTGTATAGGCTAAATATACGTAGACCGTAGCAAAACACGCACGATGGAAAACTTAGCAGCACGTGCAGCACGTTTCTCGCGATTGTGCAGTGTTTTTGCGCATACCTACGGTTGATCCAATCGATTTGATCCCAAAAACAAGTGTCTAATGAAATGGAAGCGTTGTTTTTCGGAGCTCAAAGTGTCCCCAAAAGTGAGGCTCGACTGGAACAGCAGCACGACTGTCAGAGGAGCCGAGTTCCTCTGCCGTTTGGCCCTCCCACTACTACTACAACTAGGCTACCTTCAACATACATTACATATGTGTAAGTTACATCAGAGGGCGGGAGAATTATATCAATCTATATATGTATGTCAGCAGTATCATTGGGCTTTAGAAAACTTTGTCTACTAAAACTGCATTGTTTCCGTTTTGTCCCCCAGTAAAACTGAGTACATTATATGCTAAATATTATGGCATGATTATGCTATTTTGAATGCAAAGTGGAAGTGTTCAGAAATGAGAACAGACAGCTGCAGCAGATGTCTGCAGGCCTATGTCAAATCATGCAAAAGTAGTGCAGCTCGCGCTTTACGCACAGAAGGTACTAAGTACAAGTACGGTACCTGTCTGTGTATGCAGTTCCTGCTTTGCCAAGTTCACCTCAGATATCCCCACCTCTAGTAACAGCCACTCACAGGCCGAGTTAGGTCTCCTCCGGTGAAAAGGAGTTCGCTCCGGCTCGTACTGCCCTGGCAAAAAGGAGAGTTGGAGCAGAGCCCGTTTACACGTGTAGAACGAAAAACAAAAATTACGTATACCTATCTACTGACACACAACGAGGAAGTATGTCTTGCTGAACATATTGTAATTGACTAGAGCGACATTTGAAATAGTTTACGATTAAAACATAACTTGGCTTCAAATCAGCTATTTGCTGTAATTTTCATTTTATAGCTTTGGTGATTGCGTTAATCCTGTGGCTCCTCCCTGTGGTGGATGGTTGAAACTACAATTGGTATTGCACAAGCAAAGCATGGGTTTAACACTTTTTATAAGCACATTATATATATATGTAGGCCGACACAGGCTTTGGTTTTAAAAAAAAAAAAAATGTCGTCTGCAACCAAAATATACCATTAATAAATTAGGCAGAGTTCCATACACAAAGCACATCATGAAATACAAAAGTGTTGTTGTTGTTGTTTCACCCATTCATAATTTGGCAACTTGCATACACTGTAGACCTTTAAAAAGTACAAATGTGTTTACAATTTTTAGAAAATCATACATGCACAATCTTGAATGAATGATCTGTCAACCAGTGTCTTTGCAGTATTTAGCCTTTTTAGCAGGCTATCGAAAAAATGCAAGAGAAGAAAACATCAAACATTTTAAATTACATGAGATATGTGCACAACTAGTATTACTGTGCAAATGGATCAAGTCCTCTCACAAGAAAAATATAAAACACCCTATATACACAATGTAGGGGTGCATAAGGGTGAATTGTTCTTAGACTGTGCAAGTTCCTCTCAAAAGAATGTCCTTAATTATATTGGAAAAATCTGTTGTTGTTTTTTTTGTTTTGTTTTGTTTTTTTTCCAAAAGAACAAACCACTTTTCCATGCTTCATCGATGTCCAGTTGTAAAGGCTATGTGCAAACAAGTTTTGTCTTTCCTCTTTAGTCTTTGCAGCCCACTGCCTTTTAGACTCATATACTCTTCACAGCATTTGAGTTTTTCTCTAAAGTTCGTCCCTGTAGGCACTGGACAGCATCTCTGGAGGTGATGATCCTTTGAGTATCTTGTGCGAGCCTCTCCAATCGGTGCGCACTGAATCATCATCCCAGATAGTGGACGTCTCCGTGTCACTCACCCACTCAGGATCGCCTGCGTATTTACTTGGCTCAACCAATAGGGGGCGTGTGCTGAAGGCTTGTAAATTTCTATTGAGGAAATGGGATTTGTAATCCTCACTGCAAAAAGATAAGTAAATAAAGTTTAAACACAGTTGAAATAGTCTCTATGAAATAAGACAAAATAAGGCTGTGATTTTTTTTTCTGTTACTGTAATTTTGAATGTGAGGAACAACAGCAGGTCCAATGTGCCTTGTTCAGTTGCCCATTCTTACCAAACCAGTGAAGCATATCAAATGAGACTCAAAGAGGTGCAGCAAAGAAGGAAAGTGGGCTGGCTCTGAGGCCTTAGCCCATGCATGAACACACATGCACTGCCAAGTTTTCTGATTTGTAGATTTGTGTATTTCATCTGCTTTGACTCCTGTGTTACTATAGCCTAACTATTCTGCTGGAGGTCCTCCTCATGCTTGTCTCTATGGAGATGTTACTCCTTTGTCCTGATGTTCCACATAATGGCATTAAACATGTACATCTACTATTTCTTACATTATAGGTGTTTTATTGCCCCAAAGCACAATGAAATGTGTTTTTACTGTGCCTTTCTACAGATATCACCTGCAACATGGCCTGGTGGTGCCACCTGCTAGTTAAATGTTGGATGGTGAAACATTCTAAGCAAAGCAGTAACAGTTCCATGGAGACAAGAAACATCCAACAGAAAAGCTACACAATTCATCTTAAAGCTGTAGAAAATGATTATTGTTATATTAAACAAAGCTGAGTGGTTCGTCATAGAAGTACAACAGTTGTTTTGTTTTTTATACTGTGGTCCAAAGCAAGAAAAATATCTGAAGAAGGCTTTTTTTTTTTTTTTTTTTTGCTGAAACGTTATTTAAAAATAAGAAAAGCTTTTAGACATCAACCATCTGAGTTTGCTTATGCATTTTTTCACAAGTACAACAGAACAGCTAAAGAAGACCATTTTCATTTTTCCCATAGACATTTCAAATTATTTCAAATATTAAGAGTTCCAAGATATCGTGGAGGCCAACGAGCTTTTTTTTCCCCAGAATATTTATGGGAAAAAATCATGAGAAATTTACTCCAAAAAGGAAGAATTTTGCCCCAAGTTATCTATACATATGTGGATAGTGCCATTGCCACAGTTGCCAAACAGCAGAGCTATAAGAAGAAGCCTTAAGAGATGGCTTGTGCTAAATGAAGCCATTTTATGCACTATGTACCCCTGAAAGAGAATATCTGAAGGAAAAGGCACAGGACAAAGTGTGCATTTAAATGTGAACAAGATCTAAACTATCAAGGGTTGTCAACCTGCTATTTTAATTCAGGCAACATGAAATCTAATTAGGCTTTCCATTTTAAGAACAACACACTAAGCCACAAGTCTAAATTGTCTATTTAGCAAGTCTGCACTATTTGGCCTCTATAAAACAAATATATTTAGCTTTAATTTATCATTTTAGCAGCATCAGTCTGGCACTTAACACAGCTTGTGGTGGATATAACTGAAAGTATATATCAGGATGCTTTGAGATATATACGTACTTGGGATGCTTGTCGTACATGATGGGAAGAAATTCATCAACTGGCAGCATTTTGGAAAGCGGTTCAGCATTGAGCAGTTTCTGTGCTCCTTGTAAAGAGATGGCATAAGACAGAGTCCAGAAAGAGTAGTCTGCCCACACCAAGTTATGGATGTTATCTACAGGCTCCTCTTCTCCAGGGATCACCTTCTTTCTGCCCAAGTATCTGTAAGAAACAAGGTGAAGATACAGAAAGGTTGAAAAGCAAAACTGTAATTGTCAACAGTAATAGGATGTTCTGCATAATTATTTTGATACAAATAATTTTAAATGTTGGTAACTGTGAAAGGTACTTCACAATATCTGCCTGTAGAAACTTGCAACAAATATAAACCATGTGTTCCTACATGATATCCCAGTCCAGCTCTGCCTGTTCCACCTCCTCCATCAGTCTGAGCACTCTGCGTTTGAAGTTAGCTTGGAATCGGATGTCATCTTCAAAGATCAGAGCTTTGTCCATTTGAACATCCACAATCTGGAGGGAATTGCATGCACCAAAAAACAATCAGCTACATATACATTTTTGTCGATTATTCTCTTCAATTAGAAGTACAATTTGCAAAAAAAAAAAAAAACATTAATACCATTACTAGATTTGACATAAACTATGGATCCTTGTTGTTAGTTTTGCTCTCTGAGAGTTGTGAAAAGAGCTTATAAACGCATACAGTTTGAAATTCATAAGAGTGAGGAATAATTTGAGCCAGTTTGTTTGCCTAAAATAATCAGGTACCATACACTGAAGAACATATTCTTGTTTACAATAAGAACACAGGGTAATTGCATTTGCTGTAAGTTTAGTCTGTGAAATTTTCCTGGAGCTATTTTCCTCTTTATATGTTATGTACATATCCTTTCATTATCCATAAGCATCTCATTTCTAGCACCACTCCCAATTACATGTTAGACAGCAGTTAAAATAGATTATAACTTGTGCACATGCTCATACCTCCTTCCAGATGAAGAAATGGCTCAGAAAGCAGCCCACTTCACCTTTGGTCAGAGTGCGTCCAGAGAATGGGTCATGATAACCAGGCAGGAGGTCCACCCCCAGAATCTTTATATCACTACTGTTCAAGGCACTAAAATTATATAAAGACGCAGATGTTTTATTTCATTGTTTGTAAAAGAACTCTGAATACATCATCTTTGTTTTCATACAACATGACAGATAAAGCCATCACTCACTTTCCATCCACAGCAGGCACCACCTTCACATCAATTTCCAGCTCATTCAGAGAATATAACATCCTGTCTCTGCGGTCAGGGCGACGCTGGAGATTTATGAGAAATATCTGGAGTAGAAATATGAATTATGTTACAGCATTAAAAAATGTTAATCAAAATTCTACCCAACAACAGAAATGTGTTTCTCACTTCATCAAATCCCATGAGGTCTCTCTGTTTGGGTTCCATGTGGACATGACGAGATGGTAACATGGGTGGACCATCAACTGAAATAGAGATGTAGTGAAGTAGCTAGTACTAACAGAAGCGTATGCATTTATTTTATGTGTGTGTAACATGTAAAAAAATGAAATGTAACACTCACTCATAGATTCTAAATGGAGATGAACAAAGTTGAGCCGGTCATCTTCCAGAGTCTGGTGAGGTTTAGGTGGCACGTTCAGATAACCATAGCGCTCCTTATTGCACAAATACATCTGGATTTCTATAAAGCAAAATAAACCAAAGAACATAGAAATGGTAAACTACATTTTTGTACGTAATGCTTTGTAGTAAGCTCATTATATTATGTTTGGGGATAATGAGATAGAAAAACACCTAAAGCGTCGACGAACCTGCTGCCCGACAAGAGAAGGCAAAAACTATAATGTCATCGTAAGGCCAGGAGTAGTCTTTGTGTGGGGGGAAGAAGGCCAGTTTCTTCATGCCCTCCTTCCTCAGATCCAGCAGCATTGTGGAGTGGACCATGGGCACTGGGAAGCAGCCAACTTTATTGCGGTGTCGGGTGGGGAAATACTCTGCAGTTCGGCGATAGTACCCCTAAAATAAAGTTTAGACAGAATATAATAGTGCCATTTTTATCTTAAGGGTCCTGTAATTTGCAATATTAACTTTTTTTTTGAGCCGGAGTTGTGGTTTGTGTCTTTAATTAAACCTGCAAAGTTAGTTTGTTGTCCCCCACAATTATGCATAATTTCTGTGCTAAAACTGCCTTCACTAAGCAGATTAGTGACTTTGACATAAGCTGCCACTGTGTCCAATTTAATGGTAACTAAGTTTGGGAGGTATTTTTCTGTAGTTACCGGTAAGGCCAAAGTTTTGTTGTCGAAAGTATCTTAAAAAGCCTGAATAATGTGTAAGTTACAGTGTGACAGGTTGGGTTAATTTAGTTAGTTTGTTTTTATTTACCTGTGGAGTAATGCCACACCAGAAGTTGGAGTACGCTCCCTGTGAGTCCAGCATAGGGGCGATAACGGACTTGTTCTCAGCTATCATCAAGTTGAGTATCTCTGGGTTGGTGAGGATATTGTCTGTGTCAGCATACTGAAGAGAATTTATAAAGAGAAAATGTTAAACAATGTCACTAGGTAGATGGATATGATCCTGCTGATAGAAATGTGGCACTGTTACCAATATGTAGTCAGCCCAGTGTTTCCTCGCAAAGTTCAGTGCCGCCTGCTTCAGTTTCATCACATACTCATATCTGGTGTTTGGCCAGTGTTTCGGACCCAATTCACCTGCATAAGACCTGGAGAAGAAATCAAGACTCTTGTATTAACTAACAACATCTTGATACTATTTGATAATGTCAATAAAGTATAAACTAAATCCTTATATTAATAAGCTTATACTAAACTTTACTAGGAAATGCAATATAGATCAATGTATTTTTTTACACATGCCACTCTATGATCCAATCTCTTAGTTATGCCATACCAAGTCAATATAAAGGTATTTAGTATGATATAATTTTAAGTGTCACTGACATACTTTACACTTGATGATGTGCACATTTAACTTACGTCGGCTGGTCCATCGGTCTCCATTCAACATAATGGTAATACTTCTGCATAATAGTCAGCCATTCTTTAAGTATAGCTGTGGTGTTGTCGGAGTTGTGGTCTGTGGCTGCCCTGTTAAATAAATAAAAGATAATGCAGACAATATTAGGATCATATTTTAACAGTGTTGGGAAGTAACTCAATACATGTACCGACAATAAGTATTCTTTTGAGTAACTCTATTCTGGTACAGTTACTTTTTCATTTGGCGGTATTCAGAAAACAGTCACTTTTTAAAAACAAGGGAATACATTATGGTAGTTGATCATTTAATTTCAGCTTTAAACTGCACACAATCAATGAGAAAAATGTACAACTCTTTCCTTGTGCATGTGTGATTTTTCCATCTCCAATTAGTGATAGAAAATGCTTTAAACACAGCAAAGCAAGCATAAAGCTGTTTTTAATCCTATGTTGCATCTTTATATTATAATTTCAATGTACCTTGGTGCATAGAGAAAAATCCCACACACCGTCTTACTTGCAAATTGTGAGATTTATTAGGACAAACTACTTTGACTAACTTTGTCCTAATAAATTTTACAATTTGCAGCATTTTTCTCTATGTTCTTGGGCTGCTCTTTCTCCTCCAGTGCACCCATCTCAAGTAATTAATGTGCTAAGTTCTCATTCTTTTCTAATGTACCTTGGAGCAAAAGTATTCTAAGTATTCAGAATACAGTACTCTGATTGGACCATATATCAGAATATGTTACAAAATACATTTGTATCCAGGTATTCTGTATTCTGTAACTAAATACATTTTCAAAGTATTCTTCCCATCACTGTATTTCAATAGACATAAAATATGTATATCATGTTGGCAAGTAGCAAGTAGTAGAACCTTTATATTTGGTTTTGTTACATTTAGGCTATATTTCCATAATACAGTCAAATCTATATCACCATGAGACATACAACTTGTACAATGTTATTTCAGTTGCGTTAAATTAATGGCAGTGAACTTTGGCCTGAGACTTAGAGAAAAGGCACAAATGTTACAATACTCGCCCAGGAACAGAAGGGAGGCTGCTAAATTGTCTAACTGTAAGACCCCAGACAAAAACTCACATTTATCTACTATTACAGTGCGTAGATCCCTCCAATGTCAACAAGTCTAATGAATATAAAGAATCGTAGCCCTAACTTCAGCCCTCAATAGGAAGTGACTGGGGTGCGTGAAAGGCTGAGAGGGAGCAGCTGGGGAGGGCTGGAGCCGTATTCACAAACTCATTTAAATGCCATTGACCTTTTGAACGGCTACTAAAGTCGGATGAAAAGAAGACCCCTCCACTCCCATATAAACAGAAAGAAACGGGCTATGGTGCATGCAGCTACCCACCATATTGAGATGCGTTCTTTAGGGTAGGTCAGTCTTTCCAGAGCCCCGAGGTAGTAAGGCAGTGAGTGAGCAGCGTTTCGGGCTATGATAGCGATGACCACGGTAGGAGGCTGCATTTTGGACTCCTCTGGGTATTTTTCCTCCGAGAAGTAGCCATGACTTTGGGCCAAAAGTGTCCAGATCAACAGACAGTGAAGTAGCATGGCGAAAGTAGACCCACGAAGCTTGAGAGTCTATTGCACGTTCCCCTGTACGCGTCAGCACTTGAAGAAGGGCTTTCCCAAAACTTCGACCCCCCCTTTTAGCGTTCTGCCTACACCGAAAAGTCATCCGAAATCTGGAGCTTCAACTTCCGCTCTTAGAAAAGTTACGCGTTAAAGTATCCATAAAACGAGATCCATTAAATCTCTTAAGCCTCCATGATCCCACTGGCTGAAAAATGCTAACTATGACGTTTACGACGGTGAAAGCCATCTAAAGGACATCCTACTTTCAGTGCTACGTTTTGAGAAGTTAGGCCTACAGCTCAGTACCATTTATATGCGTAAAGTTGGTGCGTAATAGCAGGATTAGGATACAGCATTGGGAGAACAATTACCACATAATTATTATTTATTTTTGTGAGCAAATGTAACAATAAAAAATAAATAAAATCTAAAAACTAGCTAAAGCTATCATCCAAACTCCGGTGTCAGTCACTGCATCTCACACCATGTATTTGTATGTAATGGCGCATTGTATCCAGCAGGGGGAGAATTTGATCTAAAGAGATCAGCTGTTTCAGAGATGTGCCTCAGAAACTAATGAATGAACTAAAATAGTTGTACACAACTTACTTTGATGCAAAAATATGAATTAAATTAGTTTTTTTAAAAACATCTTATGATGGCGATGATGATGTAAACCACTTTTATATGGACTGTGATGCCAATGAATGTTTAAAAAAAAAAAAAATCATTTCAATTCAATCAATTACTTTTAAGTGTACCCATATGAGACTAGTTTATTCGCTATTTTATTAGTTTATTATTTATCTAATCTAAAATGATACAGAAAGACTCTAAGACACTAAAATTGATTCTTTGCTCACTCACATTATGTCATCTTTAAAAAAATGTCCATACAAACTTTGTTAGCAACTGCAAATGAACAATGGGCTCCTTTACGCAGTATCAGAGTGCTCTCATGAGGCTTTTTGTGTTCTATCTATTATGCATCTTTATTCTGCTTTAACAGTCCCATTATAGGACACTGGCAAATGTAGCTGTTTGTTTATGGCCTACACTATGTGGTAAACACACTTTATGACTGCATAGTGTCCTTGTGTGAAAGTTATTGTATACGTTTTATCCTTTTCAATACAGGAGGTTCAACAACACACTAGTATACCAGCTGTACATCCTGCATAATTCTACTGCTACTGCTACTACAACCACTACTGCTATCTAACTATAACTAATACCAAGCCTATAGCTATAGATGATTCACAACCATAAGACCTTGATTTAGATTAAAATATGTGTAATATATGTTATAAAACAAAAACCTCTTTCCATTTTTTCCATATTAACTTACTGTCTGCTGTGGTGTGGACCATTTTTGAGATCTTTTAGATTTTTGTTTCATATTCAAATCAGTAATAGGCAACAATTTGTTTCTGCATTCAGTTATCTTTAGTTGTTATTTACATAATTCTTTATATTGAACATCAGATACAGATAGGGTTAGTCAATGATGAGAACTTGAGCATCTCAGAGGTGGTCCAGCAGATGTAGCACTAACTGCAGAAGTGGTGACTGTGGGAGATAAGCAGAAATAAAGCCTGGCATATCTGTAGGCGTAAAATAATACGCAAATGACCTAAAATAAAATTCAACTGTTTTGGCGGGCTCCATGAATAAGCCGGGGGAGTCATGGCTGACAATGGCCACGTCAGGTTAAAGGGGTCATTTCTGTGGACAGGTCAAAGGTCGAGGGTCAGATCTGGCCTATTCATGTCTCCCAAAGTGTCGCCACAGCCACACAAATATATACGCTGGCTGGCAAACTTATTAATATGTAAGGGTCACTTTCCCAGCATTTGTGGCTGCAGGGTTCAACCTCGGGTGCACTAACTTTTCACAGAGAGGTCAAGGGTGGGGCTGGCGTCTGTGTGCGAGGGTGTGTGAACGAATGGCAGCGGGACAGACGGAGGGACGGAGATGAAGATGGGTGATATCCAAAAGAGGGGCTCCAGAGGGTAAATGGATCAACTCTTGAGTATATGTTGAGAGGTTAGATGTTGTCCAGTGCTCTTAACTGGGCACTTGGTGAAACTCGAACTGCAATTGTCAACTACAAGGTCAAGAGAGTGATATATTGTTGTGATGCTCTCTTACAGGCTGCATTTTGGATGTCAGAGATTTTACAAGAATGAAAATATAGTTCATTCATTTTTGATAAGAAAACACAGAATTGACTTGTGCATATTCTTGATCCCAGGCAAGAATTGACAGCAATGGGGTAGCCGAAAAAAATATATCTATAGCCTATATCACTGCATTTACGCCAGAATCCTACATTACAGTAGTGTACCTCTTAAAGAGGACATATTGCCAGCCTCAAAGCATAACTACTTCAGTAATTTTTTGTCCAAATTGAGTTTTGCGTCTCAGTCTCCAGACCTTGTTGAATCTGTCAGTCTCTTTGGCTCAGTCCTCGACCTCGATCGAAAAAAACACAAATTGCCTAAGTCATCTTCTTGATTTGGATAGTTCTTTTGTCTGTTTTTTCGAAAAAATTACATAGGCAATAATTGTGCTTGGAGGCTAATAATATTATGCTTTTTGGAATTTTGTATTACTTGGATCTGATATTGCTTTTTCATTCTTTTTTTTTTTTTTTTTTCTTTTTTTATAATGGCAAGTAAGTACAGATAAGGAGATAGGAGTGCTTTCAAGCCAGTTCAAGACAATACAGAACTACCCAAACATGTACGAATCAGTTGTAATAAGATAATGATGAGAATACACTGTAATAGTTTAAAGTTCATAAGTCTATTTACATAATATGTCCAGTTAAAACCATCTTATATCATTCATTATGCAAGCTATTAGGCATACAGAAAAGCGATGGGGACCAACCATGTGCAGTTTGTGTGTTCTTACAAACATGTTGCCAGATAAAAAAGTCAAACGTAAGCAAATAAGCATACAAGAACCGCATGGAGAATCTATTGGAGGGGCCTCTATCTTTGCCCTGCCTAGTTTTCTCTTTCATCTTCAGTCAGTGAGAGAATGCCTGTCTATTGGTCTCAATGTATCACCCTCACAATGTTTCTGCCTTTGTGTTTATTTGCTAGGCATTTTTAAACGCAGTGGAGAGTCGTGACATTCTCTTGAGCTTCCGGGACCTTTATTGCCGTGGCGATAATCAATAGCCTTCCCACAGAGACATCTTTTGGCTGAGAGGGTCAATACCTGTCACTCAGGGTCTGGGCAGCACCCTCTTACTCAGCACCTACTCAGTGAGCTCTGTCTGCATGTGCTGCTCCTGTGTGGGCCTCTGGGGCATAGGCTGATTTTAGCCTCCATCTCACTACAATGTGGGGTTTAGTGTTATTTCAGGGCACAGAGGAAAATACAAAAAATAAGAGCAACTATTCTGAATATTGTGCTTAGAATGTGAATATGATTTCCATTCACCAGACTGAAATGTTGTAAAATTGTTCCCATCAATAATTGTGTAAATACATTAAAACTTAAAAATCTTACACATACATTAAAACTTATAAATAACAAAATATAATAATAAAAAAATTATAAAATCAATAAATACATACATACATACATACATAAATGAAATAAATAAATAAAACTATGTAATTAACTATGTCTATGTAATTAATAATTATATTTTGGGGCTATATTAAAATAAGTCATACTTCATCATGTGCATTTGTGTGGCCATAGACAAGAAAAAATAAGTCATGATATAACATTTTATTTTCAAATTCTTATTTTAGATCGTATGTTAAAAAAAGGCACCATATTAAATGACTTATTGCAAACTAAAATGGGTTTTCTAGCATCATTTTAGAGACACAGTCAAGCAGTATGCATAAGATAGATTTTGTTTTCTATTGTTCAAGCTCCTTCAATCTACAAATACTTGTTGGAAAAATCATGCACCTTTTAAAGTGCCATAAATGAAGCACAGATTCTAATAAACAGCCCTGTAATGTGCCCTATGCTGTGGTGTGTCTCTTATACCCAGGTGGCCAATCTGGGAGCAGCACTCAGATAGGATTGCTTCAGTAAAAACAGGTCGTTCACTTGACTGTAGTTTCTTAGTCAGCACAGTGGGCCGATCCTGGGCTAACTACTCTGCCAATGCCACATGTAATCTGATTATGAGCTCCGAGATAGCACTATGATTGCATTATCACATCTCATGAATATTATATGGACCAGTCTTTAAGCGTTCAAGATTGGAGATGGGTTCCTAAATGTTTCTGTTCAAATTCACTTTGTCTGGTAAAATATTACATAATGTGGCTATGGTGATTATGATGCAAAAATGAGTCTGGATTCATTATACAGTATTACTATGTTTAAACCACAATAAGGAAACAATCTGGCAATCGGTCTTATCAACTTGAAGCATTACATCCATTAGAAAGGTTGGAGACCCTGGACAGTGATGCACACAGACAGCCCTGGTTTTAATTGACAGTTGAAATGTCAGGTGGGCCAGATAAAGCAGGGAAAGTGAAAGGCCGGGATTGTGTGACGTGATCGAGAATAAGAATCGTGAGAATATTTGAGGAATGATGATAATACTTGAACCTGTACAGATGTGCTGCCATCAGTCTGTGTTGAGATGTAAGTATCAATTTATTCATTGCATGTTTGTGTGAAATGTGTGCACAGACAATGATTCCTGGAGCAGGGATTTCCGGTGCAGATTGAGGTGTCAGACCTCTTGTAAATCTGTAGATAATACACATTCAGTAATATTACTTGCATTACAAGTAATGTCTATAATAAACAAAATCTGTGAAAAATGTTTCTCTCTTTTGCCCTACCTATACTAAAATACAATGTGTTATTTTCAAGTGAGTTAATATTTTATAATGATACTTTTAAACTATAAAACATGAAGAAGAAAACTTAATTCACAATGAACAAATTATGATGAGTAAATAATATTTTATTTCATTCTGTCCACTTTTGTCTTATTTAATTATTTGGTATTTGGATATTCCAATGGTAAATTGATTTTACAAGTTGTAAGATGCCTTACCATTTGCATAGAAAGTGTTAAACCCTATCTGTCTGTAGTCACAGATATGATCTGAGCGCTCATTGAGCCTTGTTTGTGTCATTTGCGTGCGATGCGTTCAAAGTGAGTGCAGATTATGGAGACTCCTCTGC